AAGACCATATAAATTAATTATATGTATTGTTGTTTTCTTAAATCTAGTGAGGGGATATATGCGTGGGAATTTAATCTTTATACAGTAATCATTTCTTGAGCCAACTCTAGGCACGAAGATTGTTTTAATGACTTCGCTGAATGAAAAAAAAAAGGGCCAATTCCGGTGGATATTGAATAATTAGATACAAGTACACTACTCTACAGTATTACGTCGGATCGCCAAAGGTCACCCTTGAAACATTTCGATGCAGCAGTTTTTTTTTTAGGCTGCGTTCACACCAAACGAGTCAAGTCACATCGAGTCTTGACGCTACGTGACTCGTCATTGAAGGGGACATTATTTTGTTTGTAATTTTGCAGAAACCGTTCACACTAGGGGAGTCGAGTCGATTCATGAATACGGCCAGACTCATTTTTCGTCAGTCATCGCGAGTTCATTGCGGTGTATCTCTGAGTTACCTGTAAGATTTAATGTATTTTGTTTCAAATCAAATACAAACCATACCTAAAAAAATGTCCTTTCTTTCAACTCCAATGTGGGCACGTCTGTAGTTTGTGTCCATTTTTCCTTACAGATATTCCTGTCATATTAACCAGCTTCTTGAAGTTTTCCATTGTTATTCTGAAGAAACGGTAGAATTTGTCTGGGTGATTAAGCAAGTCTGGAAACCAATGACTAAAGGCACCAAAATCTGGTCTTTTGGTGTTGAGTTCATACTTGGTTCCTCTTCCTCCTTCGCCACTTGACATCTGACAGGATACTGACAGAAGTGACTCGCTTGACTCTTTCTGTGTTAACGGAAACGAGTCAGATTGACTCGAGTCAAATGACTGATGACTCGACTAGACTCGTTTGGTGTGAACGCAGCCTTAGGCTTGTTTGATACCACTTTCGTTGAAAGCTAAATTTGATCACTAGCACTTAGCTGAACCTGATTGGTGGTGTCCTACCCGCTTAGCTGAATCTGTCAGTCCCTATCAATAGCATTTTGCTGAACCTGTGTAGTGCTGTCTGTAATAGTCATACCGCCACTAAGCTCAACCAGTCTGGAACAACGGTGTGCCAATTAAGTTTGGTGTAGGACTAATCCCACCTGGTCTAGCTAACCCATCGAAAAAAAAAATCAGACAAAAGCCTTTTTGAGGCTTGGTGGGGCCCCTCGCCCAAAGTAAATACACTCCCACAACTTGACAAACGATCCCATATTGGAAGGTGACGTCACGTGACTCACGTTTGACCTTCCGACCTCCGTATGTACAGTAAATACAGTACTGTACAGTGATTGTACAAATATTTAAGTTTAACGCAGTGAAAAACACTGTATTTTAATGTAAACCTTGATATTTCTTATAATCGCGTGACATTAACTGAAAGTAGAACTTGGAATTGAACCAAGGAATAAAAAAATATGAATACAACAACTAACTCACTGAAGGGGCCAGCAAGCGGGTACCGTGTTGGGTGTACTGTACTCCGGGGAGAGATGCTTTTAAAAAGATATCTAATTTCCAAAGCGGAAAAATATAAGGATATATGAGTGTAACGTTTCCATAGGGGAGAGCTAAGTAATGTGAAGAAAGCAGTGATGTGTGAACAACATATTACCTATTTAGTTTAAGGTTAGACAGGGAGTTAGACAAGGAAACACTCTCCAACTTTATATAAAGTCTTCAGAATTTTTGATGAGAGAAGTAACGTAGTGAAGTAATTAAGGTGAATGGTAAAGTAATATCAAATACTGTATTGGATATGCAGATGATAGTGCTCTTACTACAGACAGTAAAGAAACATTTAAAAAAAAATCGGTTAACAGATAAGAGGAAAGAGTTGAAGAATGAGCTTTTATTTAATGCTGTAAAGACAAATAACTGGGTTTCCAGAGAGAAAGTAGACCCTAAAATCAAAATTACATTATATAAGCTGTGATGGAAGAAGTGGAAAAGAAATTAAGAGAAGAGTAGCCTAAGCAATAGCATTTAATATGTAGATCTGTTAAAAGGGTAAGTATTAGTTTGAGGAAAAGGATACTTAAATATTACATATGGGAAGTAAATATTTCTTAAAGTACAGGTCCGGAAAATGTTCACTGGTGTCATTGGTAATTAAGATCGCAAGTCCTGTTACTAATATAAAAATGACATAAGGGAAAAATAATAATACATATGGTAAGTAGATATCAGGAACACATCTCAGATTCTTGATTATAAAGGAACACATCTCAGATTCTTGATTATAAAGTACTGTAAATGTATAACAGTCTTGATTCATTGTTGACTGTAAAATTATATTGCAACCTCTCAATCTCACACATAACAATCCTATTATTCCAGCTTGTATCTACCACACATTCAGCTTGTATCTACAGTACCGCATTCAGCTTGTATCTACCACATTTCAGCTTGTATCTACCACACATTCAGCTTGTATCTACCACACATTCAGCTTGTATCTACCACACATTCAGCTTGTATCTACCACACATTCAGCTTGTATCTACCACACATTCAGCTTGTATCTACCACATTCAGCTTGTATCTACCACATTTCAGCTTGTATCTACCACACATTCAGCTTGTATCTAATATCTATCTAATATATATTCACCAATGTATTGTCACCATTATAACACTGAACTGGAACTGTGTCATTGCCAACAGGTCGGATCTTGCATCTTTCAATGTTCAGTGTGTTAGTCCCACGCATGTCCTCTTAAGTATTTTACCACTGGTTGGAACAGCTTCAAGTATATCATGATGTTCTACCCACCATATCTTGCTCTGCCCAATATTTGGGTTTGGAGAATGGTCACCTATCACATCCTCGAGTGCAGTTTGTCGCTTTGGGGAGTTCTTGAAGAATCTCGCAACACCATTAGCCAAATCCATCACATTTTGCACATTTATAATGTTAAAACTTTTAACCACATACAGGTTGACACTATGTAAAGCAACAGTGGCTGTATGAGTTTTTGAGATACAAAGTAAAAATTTTACTTGCAACTCGTTTTACTTTGCCTGCCTTAACAACAGCTCTCAACTGGCTCAGCCATGTCAATAAAGTTATTATTTTCTACTTTTTATCCGTATTTTTCTGGCAAAGTAAACTGTTTCAATATCAATATCATAGACTTGACCTCTGAAATTCTCCATTGTGAGTTTTTAACACTTTTGTACCAGCATTCTTGAACAACACACAGGTATAATTAAATTGTACTTTAAGAATGGAAATTTTGACTTTTTTTAAATACTGTAGGACTTACCTGGTGAAATGATTTAGAATAATGTAGTTCTATGCTTTGTTGATAGAAAAAAGCCCGACGATGTAGCCCTTTTTTTTTTTGGATCCTTCACAAAATAAAAATTCTGGAACAATACAATGCATCGTGATTGGTCTTGGAATAAGGAAAACTCACCAAGTGACCCAATCTGATAAGGTGGTGAGGGTCAATCATCAATTAATGCTCCATCACTGCCTGAGACCTTGTACCCAGTAACTTCATCTGCACTTAGCCATATAACATGACGTTACACCCTTTCAGAAGTCTGACTGGGTAGACATTTTCTACCAGAGTTCATATATACTTCTTGAGTATACAGTATTTACTTTGTGGTCCCCCCCTCCCCCCCCACTACACTTTTGGGATATTCCGGTTTCCACCTGTAATAATGATTGACAAGAAAGGCCATAATCAGGGATGGACTAACCCAACCACGGGCCTGTGGCTGAGGTACATATGGGGCTTGTTGAAGCCAACACAAAATTAATGATGCTCATATTATTTAAATGCTTAATAAAGTAAAATTAATAAAGATAACCAAAAATATAATTGTTTTGACCACTATGGAGCAATTAAGGACATTTATAAAATGAACAATGCGTGAGCTATACTGTAAATACATATTCAAATGGTAATTGTAGTCTTCCTGTGTTGTTTTTTGTTTATCTAAATTGATTTCTTTGTTTCTTCTTGATGAATGCAGAGATCACAGAAGAAACATAGATTTTGCATAGAACATCGGATTCTGTGCACAGCTCTTGTGAAATATGAAAGACGTAACTTACTTGGGAGGCACCTGAATCTATGAAATGGAATTCTTACAATTAAAAAAATAAATACATTCTTGTTCGACACGGGCCTATAAAAGTCATGGACCTGAGGCTTCAGCCTCACCAGTCTGTTGGATAATATGTCCCTGGTCATAATAAAGAACAGACCAACCTATTGAACAGCTAGTAAACTGGTAAGTGGTGGGAAAATAATTGCTTTACCTTCAACTGCGAGCCAGGTTTTGTTTTAAGTCTTGTTTTTCTGTCTCTGTGTTTGGCAGTCAATCAGTCTCCAAATTAACTTGAGAATGTGATTGCAACTTTGTACCAAACTTATCAAGTTTAGCTAACTTGTGACATGGTCAACATGGCTTTGCCATGCCATGTTAACCGTTACCCTGCCGTGGTAACGGTTCACTACCGAGGTTTACATCTGCTTGGATGATATTTATTTGTTACTCTTCTACCTATGTATCATTGGACTCCAATATGATGCTTTAAGAATCAAAAGTTACCAAGTGTTAACTCAATCAAAGACACTTGATAACCCCAGTCAGGGCACATCATTCCATTTTCATTCACAATCCACAATATGACTCGCTTTTGCATATTTAATGTCTACCATCAACTACAGTACTGTGTTAACTCAACACTGTGTTACCCTTCTTGTTATTACAGTAGTAATTTAAAATACTGTACTTCCATTAACCTGAACAGTACTTAGCACTTCCCATTCCTACAGCCCTACTATAGTGTATTATTTATCAATATCAATATAGTATTTTAGTTTGTGTTCTTTAATATTACTGTTCAGGTCACATATAATTAAATTTTATTTCCCAAAACTCAATATGACTTATGATCCTGTTATTAAATACAGTACAGGTACTGTAATAGCATTCTCTGGTTTTGGCATTACCCTGTATTTAATTTATTATTTTTTTCCACAGAACGAATTGTGATGACACCGAAGGGGAAAACGGCGACATCAACAACAATTATGGTGGAGCGGCGGAAAATTGTGTCACAGGAGGGTAACGTCCATGTTGGTGGTGGTCAGCACTCGGGCATAGTTATCAATAAAGACACCCGCACTGGTGAGTTGGGGCTTAGAGGGTGTTGATGGCTAATGGCAATAGGCTTTTCTGAAAAGGTAATTGAACTTGGAGAGTATCACAAATAAGGAAGTCGGCCAACAAGTGTAGTGAAGGCTCAGGCCCCTTGGGTATGTAGAGTTGTGGTGGTGATTAGAATGGAATTCTTCAGTAATGGCACAAAGACTAGAGAGAAAGGGATGGGGCAGTTAGAGAGGGGGATGTTGGTGATGGGAATGACATTATATGTTTGGACACCAAGAAAAGTGAGTACAGTAGTGACGAGAAGATTAGGTGATTTAAATAGGTTTAGTGGTCATGGGAAAGGAGACGTTGGATTGCAGAAGGCAGTGTTATGGACTAAATTTGGCATGGGTGAGTTTAATAAAACTGTTTGAATTAAATGAAAATCTGAAGTTATACCACAATAAGAATGCTCATGATAATTATGAAAGTACAGTACTGTAAATATGTTTAGTGTGAATACAAATTTGAAGTCTCCCAATATTATTACCAAGCACTAATGTTGACTGTATTTTCTTAGAAGACCTGGAAGACACACAAGCCCACCTGCAGTTAGAGTTTAAAGTGTTCTTGGTAAATGCTCAAACACAGAAGCACACACAAGAGAGCCGACAACTTAGGTTTTGGTTCCAAAGTTGTGTACCAGAAAAAGAGAGAATAAGGGGTGCTCAGGAGTTCTTCAAGGAGTTGGTAGCACCTCTAGAATTCCCCAGAGGTACAGTATGTCACACCATTTGATGAATGTTCATTTTATTAATTTTCTTTCTATGTGCTTATAATATACCTTGTGTTATGATTAGCTTGTATAAATAAATTTTCTTAGTCTTTGCTTTACTTACTGTACTGTACAAAAGGTACAGTACAGTAAACTTATATTCATTATTTACAATTGATTATTACCTGTACAGTATACAGTGGTCCCTCGATTAACAAGCACAATCCGTTCCAGCAGGTTGCTCGTTAACCGAAAAACTCGTTAACCGAAACCATTGTTTCAATGGGTTTTTGGGTAATTGGTTCCAGCTCACCGAAAATTGCCTAAATTCAACAAAAAAGGTAGTAAAGTACACTTACTTTGAGGTGTGTATGTAGAAGGCTCCTGGATGATGATGATGATGATGGGAATTAGAATGGGGGTGGAGGAGAAGGGAGAAGAGAAGGCATTGGGGTGGAAGAGAAGTCACCCCATGGCACCATTTCACCCATAAAATTTTAGTTCTCTTGGTGTAATTCAAGATTATTTTCTTTAAATCAACACTGCACTACATTATATATTGTCAATATGTAAAATAAATTTCAAAATGACCAATAATTTGCTTGGAAACACAGAAAAAAAGCATTTAGTTGAAGAGAGTCTCAAGCAAGATGTTACCTCCACTGAAAACAGAGAGAGACTAACGCCTGTCTGGTGTGTTAACAGGCTGGATGGCACGCCAGAAACTAGTTTCTTTACCTTCATTTATGTTCAATAATTGTTAAAATGACTAAAAATTTTAATATTAAACTTTTAAAATTATTGAATAGTATAAACTTCTTGATATTTACTAAAATAGTAAGAAATTTAAGTCTTAAAACCGATTACTATATTGGCGGACTAATACTACAGCTGATGGACCGCCAAATGCAAGCGAAAACATGTTGAAGCCGGCTCGTAAAAAACTCGTTAATCGAGGGATTGCTCGTTAACCGAAGTTAAGAATCTAATGGAAGGTAAATCGTTAACCGAAATCTCGTTAACCGAGGGATCACTGTACAGATACTCCCTTTGGTCGAGATTCCATTTATATAATACTGGGCATGTATTTAAAATTTCTTGGTTATTTCCTGTCTTACTGCCCATATCCTGATATATACAGATCAATTCAAAGAAATCAGAAGTCTTAGTGTGTTTTCAAGGTACATATACCTGTACTGTATATACAGTATACAGTTTTTTCGGTAAAATAACATGAACATGTTTAGCTTAAACAAATTGAAGAATAAGGCCTGACTAAGGCTAGTGAGATTAATGGCATAGAGTTTACCTCTTCTAATAAAATGCTGCCCTTTATAGGTCTGTGGCTGAATACAGTATTTATATACTGGTATTAACATGTAGATCATGTTGGCTGACTAGCTTGTGCCACAGCAGAAAACATTAAGGTGGTAATTCTGAAGGGTATTATTAAACAGACTTTCTGATTGCATTTTCACTATTGAGTTTAAAGATCTTGCTCTATTATCCCCTGACTAAAAATGTGTTGTCCTTCCATTCACCTATTTGTCTGTCTGTATAAAACAGTACTTTTATAATGGCTAAATGACAACCAAACTTGATGCAGACGTTCCTGTTCACAGTTGATGAATCCTGTAGGTTTTAGTCTTGTTCAGGGCTGCATCACCCATTTCTTTGACAAATTTAGTAATGTAATTTGAATTATTCTTTTTTATACATTAATAAAATTATTTTGATTAAATTTTAGATTATGTTGGTTTCATCAAGAAGATAATGAAGATGATGCAACACAAGTATAAAATGCTCAGCAAGACAGAGGTGGAACTGAGACAGCTTGATGAATCTGAAAAACCCCCAACCAGACCTAGTGAGTTCCATCTCTTATATGCTTTTGTTGTCCATTTGTTAGTTGTTTCTTCTCTCTCTTCAGCGATATCACTTCCAGGTGGTACTTAGTCCACAATTATTTAATTTTAAAAATAAATACTGTACTGTACTGGATGTGACAAGCATTAGATATTTACAAAAAAAGTTACTGTAACTTTAATAAAGTACAATATCAGTATGATACCTTTTTTCATATTTATCCCTGTACAGTACTTTATTCATTGTTTCTGTTTTGTCATGGGCTGTGGCATGATTACTATTTATAAAATTTTGGCTCTTATTATTTGTTAACTTAAAGTGTTGGGTGGTACAAGGTGGTAATCGGAGACATAGTGGGAAATATTTAATAGGTATAAGCTAAGCGTCGCATTCTGGATTGAACAAAAATATACTGTACAATATACTACTGTACTATATATTAACAAACTACTGTGCATCATTATTTTGAAGAAAAAATGTCAAAAACAGAAAAATGACGGGAGTAATGCATGTGATGGAGGGGGGTTTGAGAATTGCAATTAAATGCCAGGTAGCGACGTGTCCTCCTATAATTATGTATTTAAGTAATTATTAGATGTTTTAATTGCCTGTATGTTGGCCTGGTGAGTTAATGCTAGGCATTTACATACCTAGGGATAAAGCTAGACGTCACATTCTGGATTGAACAAAATGTTAATTTATCTTTTTAAAAAAAATTCAAAGAAAAGGGACCCCCTCTTTCTCTCACAGACAGGCCACCTCCGAGTATCATACCACAGGGATCTCGCCATCACCTGGGCTGCCATATGTGCAATTTTTCTGAACGCTAGACATACTGTACAATATGGTAATATGTCTGATCCCACCCCATACCATCCTACCATTTTTGTTTCTATCCTCCAAAAAACTAGACAGTCAATCTATTATTTGTGGTTATGACTTAAACTGAACTTAAATAATTACAGAGAATCGAGTGATAGATGTGCAGGGGCAGATCCAGGGAGTGGGGTCCTGGGGGTCCAGACCCCCACTTTTCATAAGAAAATTCCAATACTTTTTCTTTAATGTAGCATTTTACTCAGACACTTTTATATACTGTAGTTAAAAGTATTTACTACTGATCTCAGAATATCTCCTAATATCCAGTGCAGATAGCTTCAAAATGGCCTCAAAATGCCCATAATATTGGTTAGATTTAAAAATAAATCACCGGGGATTACAGCGCCCTCCCCCAAAAACCCCAGCTGAATGGGCTCGTTGTGCTTGCCAAGTTCCCCCACCCACAACTTCTTGGACCCCCCTCTTTTGATATTCCTGGATATGCCCCTGATGTGGCAGTCTTGGGACTCCTATGTTCTCATGTTGGAAAAACTATTAGGCCCTTATCAGTTTACTTAGGTCAACATTGTAGTGGATGGTTTTGCGACATTACTCATTCAGAAGTGTATGATTACAGTAAACTTTAGTACAGTACAGGGTATTAGGCATTCAGTTTGGTGCGTGAAATAATCTCAAAATTTCAACATTGTTTTCCATTTTCTCTTGATGTTAGAATTGTTGTGGTTGAAATGTCAATTGTGAAGTGCAGAAACCAATATGGGTGTTCACCATTAGATTTTATTTGAGGGAGAGGAGAGGCTAAGGTGAGTGATATGCAGATGCTGTTTTATGCAGTTACATGTTAGATAATACTGTACGTATAATATTATTTCTGTTTTTTAGTTTGCAAATGTGAGACTAGTTTTTGCTTCCATTTAGATTGCTCTTTCTTTTTCTCTTTGTACTTTTCAACAGGGATTTGATAGCCAAGTGGATACTGTAGCTCATGCATAGGGCACCCCCATTTCTCCCAACTGTGAATAGGTACAGATTGCTGTAGGATAGAAAAGAAGTAGCTTGGCAATACCGGTACTGTAAAGGGAAAAGAGGAATTGCAGTAAAGTTGATTAAATTATCCTTGAGTGGCTGGACTAAACAATACTGTACTGTATAGTTGTAAGGGGAAGCAACCACTCTTATGTCACAGGATGGCTTTTGTAAGCGCATACAACTCTCGAGAGCATGATCAATATAATAACTTATTTACCTAATGGTCACCCACTAGAGGTGGCCATGCTGAGGGAAGGAAGCCAGTGGCCTCTAAAGGATCCCTCCATTGTTCTTGATAATTTTTTCTCAGGATGTTTGAAGCCCAGTACATGTACTGTTCATGATTCCACAGCTTGGGCTCGTTGACTGTTCCATAGACCTACCACCTTTTATGTGAAAAGTAGTTCCTTATATTTGTTCTATGTGATAGCTTGGCGAGATTCTAGTTATGTCATTTCGTGTTGGTGGTGTGCGGCATCACAAAGAAATGTCCTGGGTTCATGTTTTCCGTCCTTTTCAGGATTTTGAATGTTTCCACGAGATCTGCTCTATTGTGTCTTGTGGGTTGTTAATCGTAAGGCCTTCAGTCTACTTGGATAGCTGAGATTACATAGTTCTGGAATCATCTTAGTTGTTCTGTGTTAGACCTTTTTTAGTGATGTTAGATCTTTCTGGAGGTAGGGTTCCATGCCTGTATACAGTAATCCAGACTGAGATGCACTACTTGAGGTTTATACAGTTGAAGAAGCATTTTTATATCTTTGTATTCAAATAGAGAGAGAGAGAATGAGCATCAACGTTGAAACGGATGAATGAGGGGTAGTTATAGTAAAAGATTCAATGAAGTAGAAAGCCTTTGTTTCCACCTTATCTGGTAAGTAAATAAGAGAACCAGTATTCCCCTTAGGTTCATATGGGGGCTTTTTATATATAAATTAGCTGTTCAAGAAAAAAAAACTGTATGGCTTGTACAGTACCCCAAGCTTTTGAGAAGCAGATTTTGCTAAGTTATGGAAATGCCATGATAACATAAAAGTTACAGTGACTCCTTGCATGTTCACACTGTTATTTGGGTGATATGAAATGTTTTTCTAATCAAGGTTTCAAAATGTATGAAATTTAGTAGAGATAAAGGCAGATACTGGATTTTGAACTATTAAACAACTAAATTACAGTTTCCCCAACCAGAGATGCTGCACAAATTTATATTAAGAGAAAAAGATAAGTAAGCCCTAGAATTAGCTGGAAAACAAAGTGAGATGATAACTGCAGGGTGTAGGTGTCACCATAAGAGTGAGTAGGGTTAGAGATTGAGAAGAGAAGATCTACTGTAGAGACAAGTAAGAGGGGAGGTAAAAGGACAGAAAATTATAGGACAGCGATGTTGATGAAGCAGTCAAACCATCAACCACCTCCAAGGTGGAATGATTGGGTACATATGTGAATGTAAATTAAAGAACATAAAAAAATGAGCTTAGGAGCGAACATTAGAAAGCAATAGCCTGAGCATACCCTGTTGAATGCTTTGGAGATATTGAAGGCCTAAAATAGATATCGTGAGTGATGATAACCAATACTTTTTTATTGTTTATTTGTAGTCTGATGTAAGTGTAATAATTTTGTAAGATACCTGTATGTGTGTCTTGGTTGGTATGCTAATCTGTTTAAAACTTCTGATATGACTAGTATATATATATATATATATATATTATATATATATATATATATATATATATATATATATATATATATATATATATATATATATATATATATATATATATATATATATATATATATATATATATATTCAGAAAACAAATATCAAAATATTTATGAAAAACAACATTATTTGTTGACATGTTTTGGGGCTTGTCTTCAGCCAGGCCAGGTGTCGTTCTGTACACGGTGGGATGCAGTGAACCTGACACAGGTGCTCTTCACTACCTGCATTACAACCCACTAACTTCTTTGCAGTTGATTTATTCAAGGTTGTGACTGACACAACATTCCATTATCATTCATATGATCATTAATATTATTTTATTATGATTATTTAAGACTAATGTATTTAACTTGAATTATTCCTGCCTGCACATTGTATACAGGTTATTACTGGTACTTGTTCTTAAGTGTTTAATGCCTGGATTTAATTGTCGTCATCTTGGATAAATGGCTGCAATACTTATACCCCGTATTACCGTGTTTTGGTGTGTCTCTTGTATCACTGCTTTAATAGTGTGCAGTTTTTTTTCTCTACCCTTTACTAAATTATTGAATTTATCTAATTTGTCTAGTAATTTCTGGTAGATTATTTTTTTATTTGGAAAGGAGATTTTTTTTTATTATTTCACATATGTACATGTATTTCAAATGCTGACATTTTATTTTGTGTATTTTTGGTGTTTTATATATTGTTTATTGAGTTTTGTTTTTTATGTAATTGTCGTTGAACTTTAGATTTATATCAAAGGTTTTGAGATCTAACATGCTAATTTTTTTCTTCAAATTTTCCGTAAACAGTATTACTTATAACGTATAGCAATGTGTGTGTGTGTGTGTTTTGATTGTTCAGCAAGTCTTTAGTATACAGAAATATTATAAAAGACATCTTTACCTATTATAGCAATTCAGTTACTGTCATTTTTATTAAGTTTTACATATAAGTCAAATTTATGTAGAATAACTCTTAATTGATGACTTCATAAAATATCCATTTTAATGATTAAAGAATACGTCTGTACATGATTAATAAATGAGAAGGCTCTAAGTAGATGTTGTACATATACTGTACTGTTATGATGGGAAATAATGAGTCTAACAGATTCTATTGATTTATAATTAGGCTTTAAAACCTTGCCTTGTGAAATTTTTCTTTAGGCCTTTACTATGTGACATTTCATGATATTTTCACACCACATTATCTTTCTTGATACTGTATTCCATCCTGCATTCTTTTAGTAAACCAATGACATTATTCCAAATATAGGATTCAATCCATTTAGAACACAGTATATTACAGAGGTTCTAAGCCGGCCAGATGTTCTATTTATAAGATTCCCACTTTATGTACTGTCATCATTTCTCATTCCATTTCCTCTCATGCCTTGGAATTCAGTGTTTATCCCAGATGGTCAACCCCTTAAGTGTGGAAAATGGCTGTAATCTGTGATAGAGATGATGGTTCAGGTCTTCTAAAGCCTGTATTAGGGTAACTGCATCTCGATAAGGGGTTATAGTAAGGCTAAATGCTCATTAATGCCTCTTTGTATTTTCTCCCAAACTTAAAAAATATAAGAAAAAATAGTTAATTTACTGCTGTTTTAGTAACCAATACACAAGGGCAGCATATCATCTTAAGTACTGTACTAGAGGGTAGTACTGTACTATGAATCCCATCATTAACATGTCTAAAAGTCATGCCTTGGTAATGTTCAGTTCTTTATTTTTCATTTTTATCTGAATGCAGTCTCTCGGTTTTTAGATGATTGTACATAGATATTGACCTAATGATTTAGATTAATTAAGCCGTATACTGTACCATGAGTCTTCATAAAATAATTTTATCACTATATGCTTTTTGTGATATGCTTTATTGTTGTCCAAGATTTTGTCAAAGTTTTAAATATATTATCTGTTTCAGTGGAGGATCAAAAGGCTGAGCTAAGTGAAGAAAAAGTCTTGGAAATGATTGAGTCTTCATACCCAAACCCTATTACTGTCCACGATATGGCCAAGTGAGTACAGACAGTACTGTACAATAATAGATTTGATTATTTTGTAAAAACTTTTTGATTAGTGTGTGGATATGTTTACGTTTACAGGTGAGAAATGCTATTTACCGTACTATAAACTCCACAAATTTGCCTTATAGAATCTCAAAATACTGGTGCTCCTCTACTTACAAACGAGTTACATTTCTGAGGCTTGTTCATAAGTCCAACTAGTCTTGTAGATATCAAACATACTGTATTGTAAAAAAAAAAAAATAATAATAATAATAATAACAATAATAATAATACAGTAATTATTATTAATTTAATTTGACCAGGGTCAGTTGACAAAGCCATTAGAGACTTGTTTCCAGTAGAGTCCTTATGCCAGCAGCATCTGGTGCTTTTAGTGCCAGGCGGTCACTCGTGCAAGTACAGTACTAATCAAACCCAATGTTGTTTAACTTCACTGATTAGACAAGAAATGGTGTTTCCAATAATAATTACAGCTTGTTATAGTATATCTTGCCAGCCTTTTATTTTAATGTATAAGTAGCTAATATAGTATTAATTTTGTTGGCAATTGGACATACTGTAGTTTATAAACATCCTTATCCAATTGTAAACCTGTATGACAACTTTACGGAGTAAATGTTATCCTTATTATTATTATTACTTTATGCAGTTGTACAGTTCAGCATGAATAAAGACAATGTAGGTATACGGTGCACGTAGTTTATGGGAGTACTGTATATACAGTTTCCTGTGTGCTGAGACAGTGCAGGTAAATGACAATGGTAAACAGTAAGGCAACTTGACCAAGGATAGCTGACATAGTTGTCAGATGCTTATTTCCAGGAGGTTCCTTTGCTTAGGCTTACACTTGGTCTCTAATCATTAATAGTATGTCTACAGGAATATTTGTGAAAGTTCATATGATAGACTATCTGAGTCTGGCAGATCACTACCCCAGTACAGTACTGCATTCTATGGTTTAATTATATAGAAACTCACTCTTTTTCTCTTGCTGTAGCTTCATCTATCATGTATTTCTTTGTTTTAGCTTTGAATTGCTTAATGCCATAACTGGTTTTGATTTGGTCTGGTAACTTGTTCCAATCTCTTCTGGAAGTAAAGAAGAAAATGTTTTTTTGCCTGACTGCAGACACCAAGTACTGTACCATAAAATTATGTTCACTCCCTCTAGTGCCTTCCAGGTTCATATTCCTAATCCTTACAAAGTTTGTTGTTAGATACTCTGGGCACAGTCCATTGAAAATCCTGTAATCGTGATTCAGCCTCGGTCACTTTACTCATTCTGTCACACTTAATGTGTTCAGTGATTGAAGAACTTTGTGATCATTGTGATCTCTTGCATTCATGTCAAGATTGAACATCACCGCCTTGTTTTGAATTATATGGAGCTTGGATTTTAGCTTCTTTGTTAGGGCAGAGTACCATGACGAGCAGGAATAGTCTAAGTGACATTGTATGAGTGCCAAGCTAAGGGTCCTTTGAGCATCAGCTGAGAGGCATATAGCATTTCAATTGAGAAATTCAGTGGACATCATATAATACACAAATTTGTTCTCCAGGCGAGCTTCAGCATCATTGGAAGATGTAGAGCTGTTCATTGCAGCACTGACACAGAAGGGTCTGATCAAACCTATGGCTCCAGGCTGCTTCACACGTGTTGTACAAAATGAAACGGATGTTAAGGTTTGAAAACAAGTGTTTTAGTGAAATAATTTTAAGGACAATGTGAAGAATTTCTGTCTCATTCGTGTTACTAATTTATTCCATCCAGTTAAATGAAAAAAGTATGGCTTAAAAATGTGAGGTAAACCCTAATATAGTATGTAGCTAGTGTAAATATGAGTACAAAAGCATGAAGAAAATATATATAGGTATATCAGTACTTGTGTAATAGTGTTTCCATTTTCAGCCACAAGCAGTTAGTCTACAATACAGTAGCTTTAAAATTATGTCCCAGTTGTTAGGAATTGTTTCAGTAAATGATGTAACTAATCACATATGGGAAAAATATTAACAAGTAAAATTGGGAAAACATTGACTAAGTATGTATGAATAATAGAAATGTAAAAAATAATAGTATGGTAATTTAAGGTACGTGACTGTATCGGCTTTTAGTGTTTATACAGTATTTGAAAATTTGAGGATACCAGCGTTGAGAGAATTGAAGCCACCTTGATTAAAAATTGTCTTTTGACTGTTTGCACTCTCCCTTATGATTGTCTGTACACTAGTAAGGCCAACCATTTTATTGACAGGGACTTACAGTAAGAAAAACTGCAGGGGTGTTCTGGGGACTGGACACCCACACTTTCATAAAAAAAATTCCAATACTTTTTCTTTAATGCAGTACTGTATTGTACTCAGGCATTTTTGTATAGTGAAAATAATTAATATTGATCTCAAAATATCTCCTAATATCAAGTGCACATGGCTTCAAAATGCCCATGATATTGGTCAGATTTCACAAAAATTTCTGGGGGGCTTACAGCACCCTGCCAAAACTCCCCAGCTGGGTGGGTTTGCTGTGCTTGCCATGTTCCCCCACCCACAACTTCTTAGACCCCCCCCCACTTCCATTTTGATATTCCTGGATCTGTCCCTGAACTGCTGAAATATAGGACAGTATTCTAAGAGATGAAGTGAATGTGGAAATATAATGGTGGAGGAAGTTGTTATTTAGTCAGGTTTAGAGGAACACACGCTATATAAGGTACAATATACGGAGGTTATGTTCTGTTGGATTAGAAGATTATAAATAATTGGTGAGAAGATTGTGTAGTTATACTCAGATGTGTGGCATGATGAAATTTCAAAGGTAAGCAGCCTGAACAAACAAATAAAACAAACAGAACTATTCTTCTTGACAGCATGGCAGACCACTACCTAACTCAAAAGAAAGTATATAGCAATACAGTGTAATGAGTATAATGATTGACTAATCTGCAACTGCATCATAGGTTGAGGGTGAAAAAAATGTAGAAGATACAGTAATTAATAATGTCTTTCCTCTCTACTCTCGAAAACCTTACTGAAAACTGATCCCGCCTGAACCCAAAAGTTGGCTTCCCATTCTACTTTAAATGCAGTTCAGGAAATTACATACTGGAAAAAATAGTATAGGGTCAATAATTATCATAAAGGTAAATTTCTGGGTCTGAGTGTTCTTCATGGTAGCTATAGTGATATCTCTGTTAGCCGGAACAATTGGTGCAGAGCACTTCTGAGAATGAGAGATTTCCAGATAACAAGATGACTTTCCCAAAGACGGAAAAAATCCCTCAACCCCAGAATTTTCCTGGTAATGGAAAAATTTTCTCAGAAGTTCCAGAAATTGTGCATTACATCATCTCTCAAAGCCGGAAAATACCCTCATCCCCAGAGTTTTCTGGAATTTTCCGGGTAATGGAAAATGTTCCGGGAATGTTTGGAAAATGCTCCTGATTTTCATCTCTCAACCCCGGAAAATACTCCCCCATCCAAGGAATTTTCTGGAAAGTGTGCCCCTCGGAAAATTGTTCCAAAAGCTGGAATTTTCCAGAAAATTACAGCTTTGGGAAAAATTTTTCAAGAAAATTTCAATTCCAGGCATCGGAGAATTCCGGATTTGAGGGATTCAGGCTAATGGAGATATTTCTGTATTGGGTTGGTCCGAATCATGTTATTTGGATACAAGAGGAAATGTTTCGGTGTAAATAAATTACCGTACTAGTAATAGCTTTCATCCTACGTCAACCATTAGTTACCCATGCAAGTGTAGGACTGAGGAAATGGATGCAAATCCTTCCATTACACAACTGGCAGTTACAAACACCTGTTTAGGAAGTTTCCAATGCAGGTTTAAACTGGATTCACTTAATTTAAAAAAAATTTGGATTGAATTTTATTTATTAAAGATAAAAATATAATTAAGTTGAGAAACTAAATCTTTACCAAGAAAACCTTTAATGATACGGTAAGCAATGTTTACCTTGCCTCTGGATGTACTATATTTTCATTAAAGTGAAAGAAAGGAAATTAGTTGTTTGAGAAGAAATGGAATGAAGTGTGATTTTATTAGGAGAAGCAAGTGAATGAATTATGAAGTACAGTAAGATCCTGCTTAATGAGGGATATGCCATCTTGAAAAGTACTCATTAGGGGAATTCTCATTTAATGGGACCCATTTTCCCATAGGATCCCGAGACATGTTCCAGCCCCAATTCTTTTTACCCCAAACCCCCCCATGATTCTGGGTATATACGTAGATGCACGTCCAGCTCAAAGAATTTCAAACTTATAACTTAATGTAACCAGATTTTGTACAGTATACAATACTGTACTTAGTAGATCTGAAGATGAATGCTCATTGTGTTGGTCTAGCATCAAAGAAATCGACGATAAATAAATGCCGCCAAGTTGTCTTGGCTTATTGGCTAGCCAAGCCGGATCAGCCTGCCACTGACTTAACATCAGAGTTCAGTATAGTCTCGGTTTACGCGTTCAATTAAACCTGTGGAGGTCCGCGTAAAACGAGAAACGTGTAAACAAAATAACAGAACATATGGAATTAATTGAAATAGAGACTGGGCTGACCCCCAGACTACCCTTTTTCCGACACAATACGAACGTTGTAGTAAAAATAACATCTTAATTTTATGATGGTATGCACCCAATTAATATTTAAGAGAAATACAGTAATACCCCGATTTACGCGGTTTCGCTTTACGTGATTCTACATTTACGCGATACCTAGCCAGAACCGAAATTTCATTTTATGCGGTGCATCTACTCATATATGCGGGTGAAGTATAATTTTTTATTGAGCTCATAAAATTCATACAAATTACCCGGCCAGAATATAATTTACATTGTTGGAATTCTTACAATATGATGATCATTTTGAATAAAAACATCATGGATTTTGCATTAGACATAAAAATTTTAGATCTAATGTAATAATTTGGTTTACACAAAGCAAATATTTTATCTTTTGTGCAAAATATATGAAGTTTACATTCAAAATATTCCCTGACCTGCAAGGAATCCAGAAATGTCAATTATATTATCCTAACTTTAGTTTGAGGTATTATTTATTACTATACGTTAAATCTAGTGTTTTCACCCAAACATTTCTCAGAGAGGTAGGAGCCAGTGAGCTGGGAAGAGGGGAAGAGAGAGGGATTTGAGTCCATTATTTGAATGGACATTAACCTGGCGACTGTATTTCTCTTAAATATTAATTGTGTATGCATACCATCATAAAATTAAGATGTTATTTTTACTACAACATAGGTATTGTGTCGGAAAAAGTGAAGTTTGGGGATCGGGCCAGTCTCTATTGGAATTAATCCCATATGTTCTGTTGCTCACTTAACGCGGTTTTCACGCGGTACCCTGTGGGTTCAATTGACCGTGTAAATCGGGGTACTACTGTATCAATAATATTAGGGTTTTTAGCTCTTACGTTAGTAGAAGAGATGGCTGGGCACACGGGGATGGGGGGTTGGTTCCGAGGCAGAGGGCAGATTATTGGCCCTCACCTGTATCACTTGTATCACCTGTATCACAATCCACCACAGAGGCTTGCAGGACCTCTTTGTCAAACCCCTCAAAGTCCATATCCTCACTATCACTGACTTGGGCTGGCTGTGGTGCGTGGCGGGTGAAGAACTTGGTAATGTTTTGTTGACTGGACGACCTAGCGCGCACCCTGCCCCCGCTGCTTCCCGCGTAAATGGTGGAATGTACTGCATAACTAATAATTGCCGGTCTGGCCAGGTGCCGCGTAAATGACCAACCGCGTAAAGGAAATCCGTTTAAATCGAGACTATACTGCATTGAAAACAAGTCTACGAATGCACTAACTTAGCTGGCTGCTCAGCCAATGACAAAATATGACTAGTCCCATTCCATGAATGATAATGTGAGCTGGTTCACACATAATTTTGCTCATTTAACTGAATAGAAGTTCGCTCATTGATTTTTCATACTGTAAAACACTGAGGTTGGTAAACCAAATTCTCATGCATTTGTTACTCATTCAGTGGGACCTTGCTGTATAGGATAAAGAATTTTTAGGAAGAAAATTAAATATTTTATATAAAAAACAACTGGCTTTAATTATAGAAAGAAGTATACTGTAGGTTACTGCGACTTTTTATAGGTTGTGAGACAGATGCCAACAATAACAACAAACAAGCAACCCACAATTGCTATCATCACTGCGCATTACTCGGAGAAGTTAGCTGTCGACACCATGATTGAAAACCAAGAGACGTTTGTCAGATACACCACTGTTGGTAAGATGAATAAATTTATATGAATGCTAGTTGAGTACAGTATATCCTTACATAGACTTTTCTTAAAATATTGTGTAGCTTTTAAACCTTTTGTATTAAAATTATAGTACAGTATATAAATGTGCTTTTTATAAATGTTTTGACATAGAAAGTATTTGTTTTTCACAGTCATGTACATCATGAAAATATATACTGTATTTAGAATGAGTAAAATCACTAAAATTAATGCACATACTAACAGTGAATGTGACAGTATGGAGACATCAAAATCCTGATATCCTTTAGGCATGCTGAATAGCTAAAAGAAAAATGCATATGCATGAGAAGGAAGAGGAGATGATGATAAGCAATAAAATTTATGGTCTTACCATAACTAGAATGCTGGTATTTTAGTGTCATATGCCTTTTATCCTCTTTGCCACTGATCAGCTCGTTAGTCAATTGGCCGGTCCACCACGTCTCTGGGTGTAATTGTGGAATTAGAAATAAATTAGACATAAAGTAATATCACCTGAAAGTTAACTATTATTATCATCTCTCCAACCATCTGTTGTAGTAGTTGTTTATTGAATGCAATTATCTATGGTTTTGAAACATTAGTGACCTGTATATGATCCTTTGTTGTCACATTATTCCCAGGGGTTCCCTCCATCTAGATTTTAAAAATGTTTATATCTCTCTTACCTACTAACCCATTAAATTTTCCCTGGCTGCTTTCTTTACAGGTGGTACTTACGGTAATGTGCATGGCAACCTGAGCATGATAGAGCATGGTAGTCTACATATTCAGGTGGATGGTTATTTTATACATTTTGGCTTTATTGTACATAAAAGTCATTAAACTTGAACTTCCAACTGACATTTTTGGTAAATGTGGATAGATATATATATATACATATATATATTATATATATATATATATATATATATATATATATATATATATATATATATATATATATATATATATATATATATATATATATATATATATATATATATATATATATATATATATATATATGCAAGTAAATCACTGTAGGTGCTCAGAGGTATATGCTGATAACCACAAGGAAAGAAGATGAAAGTGCTTTAGGAACTTCGGTTTTCTTTCCTTGTGGTTATATATATATATATATATATATATATATATATATATATATATATATATATATATATATATATATATATATATATATATATATATATATATATATATATATATATATATATATATATATATATATATATATATATATATATATATATATATATATATATATATATATATATATATATATATATACAGTATATATATTTTTTTTAAATAATTCTTCAGTGTAATTTTACTATGGTAAAATTACATACATACTTCTCTATGACATCATATTTGAAGGAGTTTTTTCTCAACTACTGTACTGTACTTTCAATTCACTGCTCATTATATTTCCAGAGACATACTTCACCAGCCACATGACATAATGTATATAAAATACATTGACTTTTCTACTAGCCCTTAATTTACATAAAATTTTCAACTACCTAATACTGTACTACAGTATTTCTTTCATTCAATTTTATTGGAGTTTATGTCATTTGCCTGCTTTCAATAGCCATTTTTATTATATTCCATTCTATTATTGGTTTTAAAGTCCTTCCAATCTTTCATCCAATTACAATTCCCATTCAGATTATTTTAATAGCTAGTGTATTTCCTACAGTCAAAGTAGTGGTTCCCTTTTATTGATGTGCCTGTAATATTTGCATTTACTGAACATATCTTGATAATGATGGCATATTCAATACTATGCTTGATTTTTATGTACATATTAGATATACTGTATTGACACCTACTGATTTTTTTCCATGCAAGAGGTTTTTCTGATAATATACAGCACTGTACATACAGTACTACAGGGTATATACTTTTACAGTATTGTACTCCCTCAAGCTAGAAGTAAAAAATTTCCCTGCTACATGTATTAAGAGGTAGGGCCCCCAGGTGGGTAGTTATTTATTAATTTTTTTATTATTTGTGAGACACTGCAATGGCCAAGTGGACGTTATTTATAAATATTTATCGGCTACACCATCGATATACATTTTTATGATGTAATAAAGTGATGTATATTGAAATATTTTGAATGAAATCATGAAATGTTTTTGAATTTATGAGACGGTGGAATGGCTACTCTCAATAGGAGTCACAAATACCACACAAAATCATGTCATAATACAGTACAGTATGGTATAGGCCTAGCTTGGAAAAATAATAAGTGATAGTGAAATGTAGTGCAGTAGAGGCATGCATATGGTGAATTATAATGAATATATTGTGCTTATTTGATAAGTATTCCTACCGGCATCACCACTGTCGTGCATATGCCAAGGTCTACCTTATCTCTGTGGTAAGTGGAAATATTATTGCCAAAATTTAAATATTTGTCTCAGAAGTTTCCAACTGGTCAATTTCTCTAACTTGATATGTGTAAATTAATAATCCATCATAAAAAAATATGTTCAAAAGATGTCTACAAAAAAAGAGTAGCAAGGAATAAAATGTGTACAGTTTAAACATTTTGACAACTGCTTGCTTAACCACAACTTATTTTTACTTTTTTTTTCTGTCACTCCATTACTTTTTTCATTATATTTTTTCTGATTACACCATTGTCTTCCTCATACTTTTACTTCACTTTTTACTTTTATCCTCTTCGCCACTGATCGGCCCATTAGCTGCTTGGGCGGTCGGTCACGTCTCTATTACTCTTTATTGGCAAGTTCTGAGTGTGAACTGGCTCCTGAATATATTGGAATCTGCTGCAGTGTTGGTCAAATCTTTCCTTGAATGAGCTCACACGCAGTGCTGTCACAACACTTTCGGGTAGATTGTTCCGAGAGTTCACAATTCTTGTGATTTACTTTTCTTGCCATGTGCATTTTATACTGACTGATGTAATGATGTGGGTACAGCACGAAGAGGAATCAACAGTGAACTCTCACTTTTCACTTATTTTTTAGGGTTTCATATGATTTCCCAGCCATTTTTACATAGGAAGGCATCATTTGAATAAATATTTGACAATTTCGTAGCAACAAATAGTGCTATGGAAAAAAATATCTTCTCCACGATGTCTAGTCATTCTGCTGGCTCCAAACAGAACCAGTGACGGTCATTAAATAAATTTCAGGTGATCACGAGAATGTTAATGTGCAGTAATACATTGATTTATATAAATTGGTTTGGCAAATTAATATTAGTCACATACTTATCATTTTTATCATCTGTTAAATTTAAATTTTTAACCCTATTACAAGATTTTTATTGTGTTATTTGGTAGATATATTGTAAGTTAAATAGAAAGTGCGGCAACTTTGCAGTGAGTGGCCAGCCAACTGCACGGACTGTGATTGGAGAAATTAATTTTGCTTATACATAAATATTTATGGCACTTGTGCAGCTACTGAATTTTGGTGTTATAAAACATGCAAGCATGAAAACAATATACTATTGTATGCTTTTATTTATTATAAATACCCTAATTCCAAGTGTATTAAGTGCTATAAATATTTGTTAGCTGGGTAATTGTGCGCACGTGACGCAGCCACACTGCTCATGAACTTAGCCAGCCAAGACGTCAACACGACCACTCCACACCCATGACAGACAGACAGACAGACATTTATTTAGTTATCTGTATGTGTCTGAAAGGTATTATAGTTAGCCACTAAACAAGCAGGGACAGAATGATAGTGGTGGTGATAGACAACCCTCGCATATACAGTACAGTAGTTGTGTTAGAAGAAGCTCTTTTTCTCCTGGTGGGACCCCAACCATGCTTAATGCTTAGCCGTCCAAGTGAACTGCCCCTTAAGCTCGGTAAATGATCATCTACATTGTGTGTGTGTACGTGCATGCATGTGTGTACACATGGTGAATAAAAAACAAACATAATTGCTGGTGTACTGCATGAGAAGTAAGTATGATTTCATAGTCATAACTTAGGCATCAGCTCATAGGTAATAAGGTAGTTATTATTGAACCTGGGAAAAATCCTGAAGGCTGCTTATGCTCTTTGAATCAAAAGAAAAATATTATGCAGAGTACATAACCATGTTTAACCTTTGATTACACATTTAAATCCCCCAGAAAAATTAAGCTTCTTACTCTTTATTTTAAAACTGGCTTTTAAAAAAAAAAAATGTACATATTGTGTGTAAGTTCATAATTTTTTTAATAAGTTTTTATTGTACACTCTACATTTTTCTACATCTTTAATATTTTTATCCAGTTATACTAATGTATGCATGTAATTTTGTAACTACATAGAGTTTTTTATCTGGAGAGAAAAAATGTTTTAATATTGCACTGAAACTTATATTCATTAAAGTCCTTAATATATCTCTTGCAAATTCTTTTAAGATTATTTTATGTCTGTCAATATTATTCGTAGTTCAATCATCTATGAATTTAACACTTTCCAATTTAAATTTCAGGTGAAAGCAACATTTACACATTGGGAAACATTGGTGCACATCGTGTTGTATGTACAAAACTTCCAACTGTTGGTCATGACCGCTCAGCCTCCATTGCTGCAGGGAACACAACAACTAGACTGCTTGGTAAGTCACTTTTATCAGGGATTGTTTTTTAACCCTTGGAGCACTGCCTGTGATTTCAGAGTCATTCACAAAAAGTGCAGTTTTCCTCCCCAGAAATGAATGTTTTATTTTAACCATTTTTTTTCTACATTGTAGTGATCATGATGGTTTTATCAATGCCATTGAAATTTCCTGAAAATCATAAATAAGGTTTAAAAAAATTTTACATAACTTTTTTTTTCTTTTAAGAAAAGAAAAACTGGTCAAAATGATATCCAAAGCCATGCCAAATTACAAATATATTTAATAGAATTGTAATGCAGAATTACAACTGCTTAAAATTAATAAATTGATACATTATGGAGTAATTATACTACATACCTGTACTGTATGCGGGTATCCCTCGTTTAATGATCATTCACTTAATGATATTTTGGTATAGTGATATAAAATTTTTAGCTCCCTTTTTTATTTAATAATGGTAATTTTTCAGTTTTGTAATGTTTGACTCACTGGGCAAAATACAGGGGGGAAGTCGGAAAAACTGGGGATTCTGTGCTCCAAGTGCGCATCATTATAATACTGTAATGTGGCTTAGAAATAAAGAAAATATAATATAAGCTATAAAATAAGGAAAATGAAGAGATTGGGTGGGATATGTGTGGGAAGTGAATGTATGTAGTATTGAAGCAGTGAGTTGTAACTGCGGCTAGCCACACTCTTCCCCCCTTATGTGACGTCAAAACATACACAGCCAACAGTTACACATGTATCATGAGTTAGCTAAGTGACTGCCTGGCTGAATTGCGATGCATGCATACTGTACCAGTAAATGTGAGGAATAAATTAAAATAATATTAACAAATAAAATTAATAATAATAAATAAAATAAAAGAAAAAATACTGCATTGCCATTTGGCAATCTTTTCACTACACATGGAACACAGGAGACAGCGAACAGCTGAGATTCCCTACATCGCTCTCCTCTCCCCAGATCTGTGTGCTAACTCCCATGCACGTTAGAAATGTTTATAGTAAACCCTCAATATTCACCGGTACAACCATTGTATACCTGCTCATCATTCACGGGCATGAGGTTTGGTTATTCACATTTTGTGGTCGAGTTTTCCCGTAGTTTTGTAGTCTGGTTTCGCTGGACACTTGTGTTTTGTGTTTACTATACACGACTGTACCACGCAGGATGGCGTGCATCATAGCACGCTCTCTCAGTCTCCAGCCTCCGTTATGGTAACACCTGCTACTCGGCTATTTTCTTCGCTATTAATGCTGTTTTTGGTGACATTTTGTCCCTATTAATGCCTCTTAAGCATACAATGAATGGGGTGAGTGGATCAAATGCAAAAAGCAAAAAGAAATAGTGATTGCTTTGCTAGGGGTGATAGTGAGGCGTCTGTGGGACGCCATTATAGTGTTAACGAGTCAGCTGTGCGTTTAATCAGGAAAAATGGGGCAAGTGTTTGTGCAAGTGTCTCTGCAATTTTGTATCGTAATATAATTAATATTTAATTGCGATACTGTAATTCATTCATTTTAATCTATTTCATAATACTGTATATTCTTATAATAATAATACAGTAATTGACTTTTCACAACGTACAGCTATTTCAGATTCGTTCTGAATTCAATTTGTTTATTCATTAAAAAAATAAACATAACAATTAAGCTGAAATCCAAATTAACAAGAGTACAGTGTACAGTATATTACTTTCTTCTTTATTCAAGACAGCTTCTGGTCGTGAGACCCACTAATTCCCCACCCGACAATGCATCAGGTCAGTAATATGACACCACTAATCCCTCAACCCACCTTCACTGCAAATGAGAAAAGTTTATGTACAATAAATGACCTGATATTAGAGAATGGGGGGAAATTTATCTTTTCCCATAGACACAATGTTTTTTATCTCTATTTTCTATTTATTTTTGTATTACTCTGAGGTGTCTCCATAGGTATGAGCTTATTAATGGAATGAATCTCGATTTAGTCAACTAATTCACTAAATCAAGTGAATAATAACGGAAAAATTTCCTTCCGCTAAATCGATAGTTCGTTATATCGTATTCAGTTAAATCGAGAGTACTGTACAGTATACTGTACTCAAAAAAGGTTCTTCTTCGTGGGTGTGGATCCCCTATCCCCATTTTTCCCATAAGGCCTTAAATTTAATATTAGCAGATTTGACAATCACAGTGTTTCTGAGGAACCTAACCCCATGAATGTTGAGGGTCTGCTGTATTCCCTTTATGTTTTTGATGTTATGATAGTTATTATAATTTTTTGCATATTCTGTATGAACAATTGTGTGTGCATGTAACAGTGAAAAAAAAATTATGTATATCTACCTGAAATATGAGTTGAAATATAACTATAACATATCTCACAGCTCAGCCTCCCCTGCTCTGAGTGCGACTTCGTGAGTTGGTGACACATTCACTTGCCACACATACACCCATGCTCTTAATTTTTCTTATTTATAGATTTATATTATATTTTCTTTTATTTCTAAGCCACATTAGAGTACTGTGTTGTAATGATTATTCCACAACTTTTATAGTTTCATTACATGTTACAATGGCAACATGCCATTGTAACATTATTATTTGCAATACTCATAAGTTCAGGACTTTTTCCGTAAAACTCAGCAATAATTTGGCCTCAAATGTGAAACCACGGATATCAATGACTTGGATAGCGAGGACCCCTGTATAACAAACTTGTTTATAATTATTAGGGAATACGTACAGTATACTCTACTCGGTGTTTACCATCCTACCGTTTGAACCTGTTGTTCGTCCTCTATGCTTTGCTGTTATCCCTCATTTACTGATAATTTCACAACGTTATATTTTTCAAGAACGCCTCTCCGTTGTTAAACGAGGGATACCTGTACAATGTAGTGTACAGTACTGTATACAGTAGTATACAATATTATGTTTATTTACAATATATTGTACATGTACTGTACAGTGGTGTTTGCATAAATAAACACAGCTGTCTGTCTGTTTGTGCAAGATGTGTAGTTTAGACTCGGAAAACTTTCCCAGTACAGTACTGTACCTTGAAAAATTTCAGGGATGAAAGAATTAGTCTCCATTCCCGGAAATCTCTCAAACCTGGAACTGCTGTGCACCAATTATTCTGGCTAACCCTGAAAAAGTTAGACAAAATAAATAAATTTTAGTCACATAAAAGTGAGTTGCTTTTCTTTATCTGGAAAATTATTGTCACATGATCCTGAAGAATGGCCAGAGTGCAGAAGAAAGATCTAATGAAATGCTTCAGTATGGACTAAGATGTTTCCCTGAATTTGAAGGCAGTCACGGTTTCTAACCAATTAATAAAAATTAGCCACTTATATTAAGGTAATATCTCTATTCTGCTAGCTCTAGACTGTTTTATAAGTCTTTATGCAGAACGTGGCAGCTGGATGGATATAACACTTGTCATTGACCTAACTGATGCTGCCTCAAGACCTGTGGCTCATCACAGAGTAGAGTAACCCCAGTCCACCCAGCTGGAACCTCTGGGAAAGTGACCTTTGATATAATACATTACCAGCCAGGCACACTGTCTTACTTGTGTCCTGAAGGCTTTATCTTGGGACATTTGTATTCATACTACCCTTACGGGCCATCAGGCTTATGGGACCCACTTTCATTCTTTCATGCTAAGTTGGCATGGTCTTATAAATTCTCTTTGTATTTACAGGAACTTTCCAGAAAGTTGACCATGTATTCCTAATAGGAACAGCAGGAGGAGTTCCTCAATATACAGATTACAATAAACATGTTCGTCTTGGAGATGTTGTGGTTTCTGCACCCCCTAGTGGACAAAAGTAAGTAATATACATTTAGAGTTAAAATGTTGTTAGTATTTAAGTGTTTCTAAAAGTAAACCCTCGCACTTCTGGACTTCTCAGATCCGGATTTCGGTTGGTCCGGACGATATCTAGATGTGGTAAATTCATATCTGGTCTCTCTCTCTGTCTGTATGCCACATTTACTCCCCCACTGCTAAAATGGACCCTGTCCGCATCTCCCTCAACTACCAGTACCCGGCATGTGCCATTTATTGAGTAATACACTAATATAATTATTGTTGTTATAATTACTGTATTATTAAAAACAAACAAACATTATTTCTATTATTATTAATACCTTATTATTGTTATTGTTGATACAGTCCATGTACAATACAGTGGGGTATGCTATAACGAATCTAATTGGTTCTAGAACCTTGTTCGTTATAAGATTAATCCGTTCCAGGCCCCCAAATACAACCACTTAGCACTGAAAAATATAATATAAAATTGTAAAAAAGTGCATAAATATGCATCTAAACCCCTGAAATAAAGAATATCATTAATACTTGTAATAAAAAAACAATAAATTAGTAAAAAAAAAAAAAAATTAAATAATGTTCGTTGTAGGAGTTTCGTTCGTTATAGTATTCTTAATTTTATAGGTAAAACCGTTCGTTATAGGAATATTCGTAGTAGGATCCGTTCGTTATAGCATACCCCACTGTATTATGATTATCATTAACGCGCCTTCATTACAGTACTTGGTTTGTCCAGACATTTGCCACATTCTGACGCCATCTCCTCCCTAATTGTCCTCTAATTGCGAGGGTTAACTGTAATTTACAATTTTACATACTTTTTCCTTCTGTACATTAGGATACCTTGAACAAAAGTACTTAGAAACCATGGCCATTGTACAGTAAGTCGTTGATATAAGCGAGGGTTGTGTTCCTAAAAACCCTCACATAAATTGAAATTTCATATTTTGAATACTTAGTTAAATGGGAAAAAATATGATGTGTTCCATAACCGAAAATGAAAATGTTCCAGACCCATTTTCAAGACAAATAAACCATAAAACAAATCAATACAATATTATTTTTAAAAAGCAAGTGTACAGTACAGTGTACTTAACAATAAAAGCAGATACATCAACTTGGGTGGACGAGATGATGGAGATGGTGGTGGAGGTTTTACATAGTGGGTGATGGTGTGACATCTGCAGAGTCATCAGGGTTGGAAGCCATATCGGGGTGTATGACATCTTGCATAAGGCTGAACTTTGCGAGCATTGATTGAATTCCTGGTAGGAATAGCATCATTGCATATGAGTGAATTCACAAACTAATTCGAGTCACCCCTTTCTGTTATATCAAAATTTTCGCTAAATTGAATTTCCGTTATTTTCGCTCAATTTAGCAAACTAGTTCGCTAAATTGAGTGTGATTCCATTAAATTCCACTCCAAATGCGCCGCTTGGCATGTGGGGTTTGTTAACATCTGCTCAGTCTGTTCTGCCACCACTATGTGTAGTTCACTGCTACCTCTCGATCAACTAACTTCTGTGCTTAGACATCATGCCAAAAATCTCTCAAAAGTCTCAGAAAGGAAGCGGTGTGGGAGAGAAAGTCAAAAGAGTGCGGCTATCAATTGGAAAGAGTTTGGAAATCATAGAAAAAAAATTATAACAAACACCGAATCCCCTAGTTGAAGGTATGACATGAGTAATGATTCTATTGTTTTTATGTACATATCATGTCTGAGGTGTCTCCATAGGTGTGAGCGTATTAATGGAATTGATCTTGATTTAGCGAACTAGTTCACTAAATCGAGTGAAAAGTAATGGAAAAAATTCCTTCCGCCAAATCCAGAGTGTTCTGTATTGAAGGCTGTACCTGTACATCAAATTTCATGTTCGTCTTCGTACGTACAGTAATATTAACATTGTGATTGTAATCTGCAGATTTTTTCACACCTAACCTAATAATCTTTGGGTAGTGTATATATATATATATATATATATATATATATATATATATATATATATATATATATATATATATATATATATATATATATATATATATATATATATATATATATATATATATATATATATATATATATATATATATATATATATATATATATATATATATATATATATATATATATATATATATATATATATATATATATATATATATATATATATATATATATATATATATATATATATATATATATATATATATATATATATATATATATATCACGGGGGGTGTAAATCTCACACGCCTTAAGACCCTACTGTATGTGGTACTATGCTGTATTCAGTATTTACCGCCATGTCGTTTGTACTTGTTGTTCACCCTCCATGCTTTATTGTTATCCCTCATTTAGTAAGTATTTCATTTAATGTAATGTTCTTCAGGAACAAAATCCTCTTGTTCAACGAGGGATACCAGTATCGAGACACACTGCATTTTATATATTTTTCTGTAAGTGCTTTTGGTTTAGATTTTTTTTTTATGTTTGAGAGTCATGATGCAGTTTAATAAGGGTAGAATAAAACTAACACTTCTATAAGCACACCACTACCCTCAACTGTGAATTCAAACAAACAAACTGAATGTCAGGAGCGATTGGTGCACCAACAAAACAACAGCTTCCAACCGGCAAAACTACAAGACACTGCCATTTAGTGGGAGGTTTGTCGGGTAGTAGAATTATCATTCATGTTACCATCTGTCCTTTAGGATGTTTGTTGGGTAAAGGAATTTTTGAAACCAATGTTGTTTTTTGGGGAGTTGCTGTATATGTATTGAGATTTGGGAATTATTTTTTTTTTCAAGATTACGGCTGAAATGATAAGCCATAGTAATCCTTGTGTGGAAAAAACATTTTCTTTCAGAATTTTAAATTAATGTGTTTTAACTACTTTAAAACATCCAGAATAACACAAAAATGGTGTCAATAACCCAAGAGCCAGCCCTGCAGTTATTAATACTACTCCAATATTATTATTTTTTGTTAATGCATTGTATTTATTATACATTCTACCATTTCCAGTAAACAGTACCAGTATCCAGAGCAATAACTTTACATTGCAATATTTATTTAATAATAATTTTGTTCCAGGTTCATCTACATGTATTGTGACAGTGCCAAAACATTAGAGAGTGGATCATATGAGTTTGAAACTAAGTCATGGGGCCCTCCAGATTTGAGTCTACAGAATATTGCCTACCAGTTAAAACAGCAGGTGAGAAATGTTTCCAGGCCTTAGAGGGTATAAAATGTTTTAAGCATTGAAGTGTATGGTATTAGTTGCTTTTAATCTCTTACTTTATTTCAAGATCTTTAGTCATTATACTACTTTAATAATATTTATAATTTTTTGTGTTTTTTAAGTGGGGAAATTACATGTTAATTATTTTATATATTGTACCTGTTTACAGTTCTCTGTGATGTAAAGTTTTCTTACTTGTCTTTATCCTTACCTTATTCACTTCACCACTGATGGGTCTGTAGTCGTATTGGTAGTTGGTCATGTCTCTGCTCCACACTGTTGGCAAGCAGTGATTTCAGAATGTATCTGCACCGGCATTGGTCTTGAGTGAGCTAGCACTTGGTGTCAACACAACACTGGCAGGTTGTTCCAATAGTTCACGATTCTCTACAAAATTTCTGCCCTGAGAATTTTCTGAGCTTGTGGCTTATTCAAACTGTGACCCCAATTGGGGCAGGCATCCACTAGTTCCAGGTGTGAACACTCAACTGAGTAATGCCCTCAGAGGTATTTATAGACTTCTATTAAGTCACCCCTTGGTTGCCTATAGTATAAGCTAGGCAACTGCAGGCATTTTAATCTCTCTTTGTACCAGAGGTGCCCCTTATTTTTGGACATTTTCAATCAACTGACATTCCCCAGCATATTTCAAGGGACTGACAGTGTGGCACCCACACACCCCCAACACCACCCACACACCCCGAACGTCACCGGCACACTCCGAATGCCACCAGCACACCCCGAACGCCACCGGCACACCCCGAACGCCGCCCGCACCGACGCACCCACCCCTGAACGCCACCACGCGACGCACCCACGTCACACGCCCCGAACGCCACCTGCACACCCCCGAACGCCACCCGCACACCCCGAATGCCACCCACACACTCTTCAACACCACCCGCACACCCCAACACCACCCACACACCCTTCAACACCACCCGCACACCCTTCAACACCGCCCGCACGCTTGATCTCAAAATGGTGAAGTAAGTTGTAATTCTTTAACACTGCCACACTGTCTTTGCAAATTAAGCACAACTACTTTTCCATCCACGAGCAAAAATTTGGACAGACCACAGTAACATGCTCTTCAGTGAGAAGCAGAGAGAAGACTAAGCTTCTCTAGTGCCCAAGTCAGTGGACACACGAGTGAGATGTAGCCATCCCGTCATAAGTCGAGAATTGGTTTCTCAGGTAAGGGTTTACTGGCCTCTCTATACCTAATCCTATTTCCTATGGATAACCATACTTGGGGTATTCCCAAGGCCAGGTCAACAGGTGATGAGCAAGTCTTGCTACTACATATTGATATTTACTAAGATTAAAAAAACATTTGTTTTCCCTATTGCTAATGCAATGGCGAGCCACAGCAATAATTTGTAGGGCCAAATTTGTCCCACAGGTCATATCTTCAACCCCCACCTCTGGTGTAGTGTTCAGTAGAATATTTTATTTATAAGAATATATTGTAAAAGTTAAATAGTGTTTGCATAAATAAATAGTGCTCTGTGTCTGTCCGACTGTAGTGAAGCCTCCATAGCAATGGTACTCCATGCCAGATGTGTAGTTTAGACATGGAAACTTCACCAATGCTCAGAAAAATTCCGTATGTTATTTTTGTTCAATCCAGAATGTGACGTCTAGCTTTATACCTAGGTATGTAAATGCCTAGCATTAACTCGCCAGGCCAACATACAGGCAATTAAAACATCTAATAATTACTTATGTACGTAATATTAGGAGGACACATTGCTACCTGGCATTTACCGGGGTAATTGCAATTCTCAAAACTCCCTCCCGCACCCTCCATCACACGCATTGCTACCGTCATCATTGCTCATCCATATACTGTATCTGTATAGCAGGATTTTAAGTAGCTCAACTAGCTTGTTGCACAACACTGGGATGCACAGTATCAAGACCAGGGCTCTTATGAACCTTTGTTATAGTGTCTTTTTATAACTTCTATATTGTACAGTGGTCCCTTGGTTAACGAGCACACTCTGTTCCAGCAGGTTGCTCGTTAACCGAAAACTCGTTAACCGAAACCATTGTTTCAATGGGTTTTTGGGTAATTGGTTCCAGCTCACCGAAAATTGCCTAAATTCAACAAAAAAGGTAGAAAAGTACACTTACTTTGAGGTGTGTATGTAGAAGGCTCCTGGATGGTGATGATGATGATGGGAATTAGAATGGGGGTGAAGGAGAAGGGCACCATTTCACCCATAAAATTTTAGTTCTCTTGGTGTAATTCAAGATTATTTTCTTTAAATCAACACTGCACTGCATTATATATTGTCAATATGTAAAATAAATTTCAAAATGACCAATAATTTGCTTGGAAACACAGAAAAAAGTGTTTAGTTGAAGAGAGTCTCAAGCAAGATGTTACCTCCACTGAAAACAGAGAGAGACTAATGCCTGTCTGGTGTGTTAAAAGGCTGGATGACACGCCAGAAACTAGTTTCTTTACCTTCAATTATGTTCAATAATTGTTAAAATGACTAAAAAAGTTAATATTAAACTTTTAAAATTATTGAATAGTATAAACTTCTTGATATTTACTAAAATAGTAAGGAAATTAAACCCTAAAACCGATTACTGTATTGGCGGACTAATACTACAGCTGGTGGACCACCAAATGCAAGCGAAAAAATGTTGAAGTCGGCTCGTAAAAAACTCGTTAATCGAGGGATTGCTCGTTAACCGAAGTTAAGAATCTTATGGAAGGTAAATCGTTAACCGAAATCTCGTTAACCGAGGCGCTCGTTAACCGAGGGATCACTGTACTTAAGTTCTGGAACTCTTTTGAGTGGCAGGTTCTTGAGGTAAATACTTCTTAGTATTTTGGGGGGTTTGTTTTAGTTACACACTATGTACACTGATGAGAACTAAGAGGATATTGGGTGAATCCTCTCCAGGGAAGAAGTCTGAGTAATACTTGTATGTTGCCTTCAAGAGATATGTGGGGCACTTCCCTGTTCACAGGTTGTAAACTCTGTCTCACCTAGGAAATGTTAGTACAGTAACCTCATTAAGGTTTGACCCTTTGAGAAAGTTACTAGCTCAGGCCTGATTAGTTGTGGCTAACTGGCTCGCCCGGTGTTGTGCTTAACATGCAAGACCCTGACTTCCCTCTGAGAAGGAAGTAGAGAGCCAAAAAGTTCATGATAATTGTTATGTGTGTGTGTGTGTGTGTTTGTGTGTGTTTTTTTATTTATTTTGGGGTGCAATTTTATATAACACTAAGGTCCTGTTACACCAGAACTAAATGTGCATCAGCGCTGTGTCAAACTGTCTTTCCTCAAGCTCAGGGAAGTTGTGTGAATTCTCTCTCGTGAACACCGAGGAAAAGAATTTAACCTCTCTGCCTTCTCCTGATCTGAGTCTGCATAACTACCATCTTCGAGTTTCGGGTCTCATACACCCACACGTCATTAGCCTTGTTTGCCGTCCACCTCTGGAAATTATATATTTCTCCAGCCCTTTTACACTTCGACTTGGTTTGGTTCCTGGGCCTAGAATTCATCCTTCTGTCATGCTCATAATTTGTCATAACCCATCTCTTGAAATTCTGATAAAATTTGTTAACTTCATCATCTATTGCATAGTTCATGGCTAATGATCTCCTCATAATCCTAGAGCCAGTGGGTTAGGTTAGGTTATATATTCATCAGTCAGATAGTTCACTATGATATTTGGGGTAGTGCAGTATCCACATTCTTATTTATCAACTAGTCAGGCCCATGAATACCTCTTATTTCCTCCCTCATCTTATTGTAATTGCCATTGTTTTATTATTTGAAAAGGTGCAGTTTAATTATATGTTTGCTAAATAATTATGAATTGCTTTCAGGGAGAAGAAAAAGGTGGCCTTACTCCTTGGATTCACTACATGACTGAGGGTAATAACAAATTGTCAGCTCAGGAAATGGACTTTTCTCGACCGAATGAAGATACGGACAAATTATATATGAGTATTGGTGGGTCTGATGTGATTGAAGTTTCTCATCCTCTCCCCCCTGATGGTTCAGAGAATATAAGGTGGGTATACTAACTGAAATATTGTCATTGAATTAGTACTATTGTATTTCAACCTAAGAGATGAAATTTAGCCCTAGGCATATTTTTTCATTTATTCCTCTTTCTTTTATTCCATCATGAATAAAAACAATATGTTCAACTATTTTACTTTACCTTTATACTTTACTAAAATCTCAAAGAAAACACACATCTCAGAATTGTGTGTACATTATCTGCTTTTAAAAATTTTAGGCTTAGTAGGGGATATTATAGTGTATCTTAAGTTACTTGCAGTTAATATCACTGAAGAAATCAAAGAAATATGTTAATTTGTATTTGTTGGAAAGAAGAAATACTGTACAGAAATCCTATTGTATTCTTGCATGGAAAGACTGAGTGATGCTCAGAGGACATATTTTATAGAAAATTAATGTCAGGTGCTGTTTAAGCGAAGATGGAAAAACATTTTAGCATAACAGTGTGTATTTATGAACAAAAGAATTAGCATTTTTATTTTTATGATAATTGAGGTTTGCATCACTCATACACTGTTAAGCCTTCCTTTTCAACATGCTGTAAGTTGACAAATTTCTCGAGAGTATTTTGAAGGTAGATCATATGCAACAAAATCTGAAAATTCCCCTAGTAATTACAGTTTAATTTCTCACAGAGACCCCACAAAGCCCCGTATCCACTTGGGTGTCATAGCTGCTGGCCGATGTGTAGTTGGGAATGATCAAATGAGACAAGATTTTGCTTCTCAACTCTCCGTGGTTGCATATGACCAGGAATTTGATGCAGTCATAGAATCTGTATATGGTAATCGTAAGGACCAATATGTTCTCATCAGAGGCATTTGTGATTACCAGTAAGTAACCATACCATGATGTGCATGTTTTGTGAAAGGTAATATATATATATATACAGTGAACCCTCACTTTACGCAGTTAATTGAACCCACGGCGGCCCGCTTAAAGTGAGAAACGCATAAAGTGAACAACATAACACATGGGATTAATTGAAATAGAGACCGGGCCGACCCCCAAACTCCACTTTTTCAGACACAATGCCTACATTGTAGTAAAAATAACTTCTTAATTTTATGATGGTATGCACACACAATTAATAATTAAGAGAAATATCAATAATATTAGGTTTTTTAACACTTACATTAGTAGAAAAGATGGCTGGGCACACGGGGATGGGGGGTTGGTTCCGAGGCAGAGGGCAGATTATTGGCCCTCACCTGTATCACTTGTATCAATTGTATCACTATCCACCACAGAGGCTTGCAGGGCCTCTTTGTCAAACCCCTCAAAGTCCATATAAGTCCATATCCTCACTATCACTATCTTGGGCCGGCTGTGGTGGGTGGCGGGTGAAGAACTCGGTAATGTTTTGATGACTGGGCGACCTTGTGCGCACCCTGCTTGCGCCGCTCTCCGCGTAAAAGGGTACACACACCGCGGAAAGTGAGCATTCCGTGTTCTCTCTCTCTCTCTCTATATATATATATACACAAGAGTCAGGTTGTAATAACAACAGGCCTATATGATACAGTAATAGATTTGAAGCATCAGAATTTTTTGTTGTTTTATCCTTGTTGCTAAAATGTACACAGATGATGAATGGCTGGATTTTTCAAATAAAATTTAAATGAATATTTAAACTAATTGCCTCTCTGATAGGTATGCACCACAAGACTATCCTACAAAGCAGTGTCTGCTCCTCAGCAGTGACATTTTTTTAAACACTAATTGGATGAGGAGATAGTGCAGGAGAATTGTGTGTTGATGGGGAGTTAGAAAGTTTACATTATTTTAATTACAGGTTAGGTAACCATTTTCTGAAATGCTTGGGGCCAAAAGGGTCTTTGATTTGTGATATTTTTGGATTTTACTTTTATCCTCTTTGCCACTGATTGGCTCGTTAGCCATTTGGTCGGTCGGTCACGTCTCTGTTATGCACTGTTGGCAAGTACTGCTACAATGTTGATCAAGTCTGGTCTTGAATAAGCTCACATTCGGTGCCGTCACAACTCTCTTTGGCAGATATTTTCAAGAGTTCACAATTCTCACTCCGAAAAAGTTTGCCCTCACTGTTTCCTGGACTTGTGGCTTCTTCACCCTTGAGCTGTGTGGCTTCCTCAGCCGTGAACTGTGACCCCTTGTGGGGCAGGCTTCACTGTATAATGCGGTAGCTCACCCAGCAGGGATGGGGCCCAAGTCTATGTACGAAATTCATTTATATTTCATTTACAGCATATGGATGCATATAGCCTGCAGGTAGTTTTATGAAATATTTTTAATAATTTTGTGTATCAAATACATCATAAGATTTTACTGTACTATACACTGAAGAATCAGAAAGGTAAGCAATCACTACCGTCTGTTCGGCATCGCCATGACACCTGACTGTGGAGTGCTAACAGCCTGTGTCTTACCTTTATTCATTAGACATACATGCTTACCCTAAATTTATTTTGAAATGTCTTAAAAGTGATCAAATTACCCTGAAATATTATTAATTATCTTAAATGGTGTAAATTTTATCACTATGTGTTCTTTGCCAATAATTATTCATTAATAATTTGATATAAGGCCTCCCTCAACAACTCCACAGGAGATGCCAGATTTTTCCACAATTTCCAACTCAACAGAGAAAAGTAATGACAAATCAAATACTTTGCGCTGATTCTTGAGGATAACGACATTACAGTGAGTTCTGCTATAACGCGTATTTTGATAACGCGAATTTGCTCTAACGCGATTTATGAATTAGGAACGATATTTGTATAACGCGAACGCTTGTTTGCTATAACGCGATTTTTGCTTACTATTTCTCCAATTTTGTGGTACAGTGGGGTATGCTATAATGAATCTAATTGGTTCTAGAACCTTGTTCGTTATAGCATTCGTTCGTTATAGGATTAATCCGTTCCAGGCCCCCAAATACAACCACTTCACACTGAAAAATATAATATATAAAAATTGTAAAAAAGTGCATAAATATGCATCTAAACCCCTGAAATAAAGAATATCATTAATATTTGTAATAAAAAAACAATAAATTGAAAAAAAATTAAATAATGTTCGTTGTAGGAGTTTCGTTCGTTATAGCATTCTCAATTTTATAGGTAAAACCGTTCATTATAGGAATATTCGTAGTAGGATCCGTTCGTTATAGCATACCCCACTGTATTAACTGTGAATATAGTAAAGAAGAATATCAACAAGAAGCGTTCTGGTGATAGAATTCCCGGTGATGATCGTAAAAGAAAGGATATAACACTTGAAGAGAAGCTCGATTTTATCAACCTCAAAATCACCCTTCTCCCCCATCAAGTAAAGTGTTACATTTACTGTATGATTTCATTATTAGATATGAATGTAACATTTATTTAGACTGTGCTATCCTTTGTGTTAGGCTAACTACTAAATTTTTTCGATTTCGAGTAATCTGCACCTAACCCTATTTTCTCCATAAGCCCTGTTATTTCTATTACGCGATTTTCTATAACACGATATTTTACAAGAACACAATTATCGCGATATTTTTGAAACCATATTATTACTACAGTACAGTATATTGATGTCTGGTTCATATATCTTATATTTTCTCATTTATTTTACTTATAATCTTCGTATTACAGTGATATCCCCATTAACCGGAACAATTGGTGCAAAACACTTCCGGGATGGGAGATTTCCGAGTAACCAGATGAGTGTATCTGCCGCTCTGTTGCGTTTTCCGGGGACGTATTTGATGGTGAAGCGATGTTGCAGTGTCTTCTCTTTCAGTCGGAACAGCCGAAGGTTAAGAACATCTTTAAGGGCCCTGTTTCCGAACAGCTTCACCAACTGTTTGTGGTCCCGTCACCAGCAGGAGATTTGGGCACCCCAGCAGGAAGAGGCAGGCTTTTTACAGGCACCACACCACTGCCAGCGCCTCACCCTCCACCGCCGCGTATCCTCTTGGCATCACTCAACGTGCGGCTACCACACAGAGCTGGACGCCTCCCGCCACTACAGCAGAAAGGCGTATCCGCAGAGACACACCGAGCAGTGCTGCTGGAGGACGACAAACCCGATGCCATTCCTGCTCCAGTCAGTCACTACTGCCGTCGGTTGTGACTTACGGCAAGCCATCCCTGGCCAGCCTGCAAACGGTTTTCTGTCTTCTTCAATTTTAATTCTGAGGTGCTCGTCCCAATACACCCTCTTGGACTTTGGCCCTTTCAGTAGCTCCGCAAATGGCTGCATCACTGGCATGGTAGCCATGAAAGTGGCCAACTGATTGACGAGGCCATGCCACGACCTGATATCTGTCAGGGTCAGGCGGTCGGGCATGGGGAAGTTGCATACCGCTGCCAGCCTATACTCCTCCCATCCCAGGTAAAAGCCTACAAACTCCACCTACCTTTGGTAGAATTGAAACTTCTCTGGCTGTAGTATGATGCCCTTGCGGGCGCACATCTCCAAAAAGTCATATACGTGCCAGAACGCCTGTTTTACGCCCTCAATGTAGAGCAGTGTGTCATCGATGCATTTGTATTTCCTTGGCACCCTTTGAATCGTGTCATCGAATCTTCGGGTGTATGCGTTGGGTGCGGTTTAGTGCCTCATGGGGGTGCGTAGGTATCTGAACCTTCCCCAGGGGGTGATAAAGGTGGTGAGGCGGCTGCTCTCCTCGTCCAGCCTTACCTGGTGGAATCCCCAGTAGGCGTGTGCCGAGGGACTCCTGATACCATGTCAAAGGGCACCGGTGTGTGGTGCGTCTCTCTACAGCACCACCTGTTCAGCTGTTGGTAGTCCACCGTATGCCTCAGCTGGCCGCTTTTCTTGGCCACCACTACCATGCGGGCGCACCATTTCACCGCCTCCCCTGTCGGCACCGGGGTAATCATGCCCCTCCTCACGTCCTCGTCGAGTTGGTGCTTGACTTCCAATTCCCAGGGCCTCGCGACCGGCGCAGGCATGTGGCAAGCATGTGGGTGTGTACCGGGGAGGAGGTGTATGTGGTGCGGTGGGCCGTCCATCACAGGCAGAGGGGAGAGGGTGGTGTTGGAACACAGTGTTCGAGAAGTGTTGATTCTACCACTCCTCCAGACGTGGTACGTCTGGGTGGTACCAGTGTGCCCTGGGACGCCACGGGGACCACCTCGCTGTCGGCGGCCATGACTGGTTTGGGTAACGGGAAGGAGTCAGGCACCAGGCCCAGCCCCTTGTACGCCGTCAGGGAGAGGACTATCCTTTTCGCTGAATCCACAATCCGAGCTTCCTCCTCAATTGACTTGCCGTGAGCCTTGATCCGGAGCCGACAGCTGCCCAGGCACCTTACCGGCGCGTTGTTGATGCCCCTGGTGTCGCTACCGGCACATCCAGTCTCGACACTCGTACCCCTAACGTCCTCAGGAGCGACGGTCCAGCCTCCGTCACTTGTGCACCCGTGTCTGCCACCGCCTCGATGTTGCCAGACAGCATCGATACTGTGACTTGCAGGGAAGGTGGTGTAGCTTCCCTTGCTTCTACAACAGCTCACTAGGTGGCCTACCTTGCTGCATCCCCTGCACGTCAGAATCTTCGCAGGACAGCTCTCTCCCTTGCCGTGTCCCCGTCCGCAACTCCTGCAGCTGTAGATGGACTTGCTTGGATATTTATCGTGCAATTTGTGAGGTCTTTGGCTCACACCATCACATACATCGGGCAGGGAAGACTCGTCACCCTCATCCGTTTCCTAGCTGATAGAGTTGCCACACGCTGCCACCGAGCGGGACTTGTGCGAAACAGCATCTCGCTTTGCGCTATCGTACGTAAGGCACTTGTTGTATAACACATCCACGTTCAGTACCTCTCCCAGTTTTGGTAGAGGTCCCTTCTGAGGTCACTGTCAACTAGGGCCGCCATGACCTTTTTCACCAACATGTATTCTGAGATATCACACTTGCATTGCGGGCACTCGAAGTTGCAGTCAATCACTTGTCTCTACTCACTATGGAAATATTGTGCGATGGACTCACCGGGTGCTTGTCTGGACATGAAGAATTGCTGCCACAGGACACCCTGGTTCGTCTTCCTCGTGGCCAGCCTGCCTATTGCCTCCAGCTCCTCCTCCAAACTGAAACTTGTCCACCTGGCCTCAATGAACTTGGCGTCCACAATTCGCTGCAGGTCCTCCTAGCACAACAGACGCACGCAATGCACTGCGTCACTATCTGACCACCTGTTCAATTTTATCCATGTGGGACAGATTTTTTCCACAATCTGAACGAAGCACTAGTCAGACCTACTGCACACATGGCCGAGGCGGGCGCCTTGGCGCTTGTACCATGCCCCGTAGCCTCAGACATGGCTCTGAACGACCTCACCAGCGTGGAAAGTTCTGGCGGTGGGGCTTGAGCTGGCACCTGCTGTGCTGGAGCTGCCTGTGGGTCGGGCGACACAGGCCCTTGCTGCACTTCGTTCACCGGGAGGTATGGCGAGGACGTCTACGGTGTGGGCCGCGGCTATGACAGGTGGAGCGAGGCCAGGAAGCTAACAACCTTGCTGAGCGCTGGCAGGCGAGAATTCGGTGCTGCATTCATGCCGCATGCCGCGACATCACTGGCACTTGTAGGTTCGTAACAAGTTCACTGAGCCATGTAGGAGGTCCAATATTAGTGGAGCGTTGTCTTGCTTTTATTGGTGAGATGTCCTTACAGAGCGTACCTTCTAATTCCCCCGAGCACTCGATCCTTACTGGTCAGTCACGCTCATGCCACCTGCCTCACACGCTGCTGAGACTTAGCCCAAACTGTCATACTGCATCTGCTTCAGTCACGCCTACACATATTCATACATACAAACCCTACAATAATGATATGAGAACATTATGCGAATATACAATAAAACATTTAATATATAATAATGTGCAGTACTTAAAAAGTATCATAAAAACCAGTCTAAGGACATTTCCTTACAAGGGAGAGCACAGCCTTCAGTGGTAATTGTTACCACTTGGTCTTATAAGAACGTTGTTCAGATATCTAGATGGTCCATCCCTTGTAACGATCTTCGGGAGTAAGGTGCTTCCCAGCCTGGAGTACTGTTACCCTATCTGGTCCCTGAGATATGCTAGAGACTGTTAGTTGATTAGAAAATATCCAAAGGAGGGCAGCAGGCTGATGCCTATACTACGGCACCTCAGCTACCTAGAGAGATAAGAGCACCTGCAGCTGCCTAGCTTATGTTACAGACGGGTAAGGGGTGACCAAATTGGGGTGTATAAACATCTCAGAGGGCACTACAGTACTCAGTTGAGTGTCCATACCTGGAGCTGGCAGACACCCACCCCACAAAGGGTCACAGCTCAAGGTTGAAGAAATCACAAGTCTGGAAAACTGCGAGGGCAAACTTTTTCAGAGTGAGAATTGTGAAGACTTGAAACAACCTACCAGAGAGTGTTGTGATGGCACAAAGTGGGAGCTTTTTCAAGACCAGACTGACCAACACCTGAGCAGGTTCAGTTACATTCTGGAGTCAATGTATGCCCAGTACTTGCCAAAAGTGCGTAACAGAAACGTGACCAACCGCCAGTGCGGCTAAAGAGCTGATCAGTAGCAAAGAGGATAAAAGTACAAGTATTAAAGTTAAGATCCAGTTTTTGGGTTCTGTTTACTACAGGAGTATTTTACTGATTGATTAGCATTTGGCATCAATGTAGTAAGTTAACCAGGTTGCAACACTTATCTTGAGTACAATTCATGAGACTTCAGGTCCTGACAATTATAAAATGGGATTTCCTGAAACAATTCATCATTTTTGCATGGTTTAATTTGTCTACTCAAAAAGAATCCACTATTTTTATAATTTGCAGGGATGGTACAAGGAACAAGGATTGGCAGCCATATGCAGCTTTGGCAGCAGCAGCATTTATGAAGGCAATCATTTGTGGAATGGAACCTCCTTTGGATGATTAGCTGTGATGAATGCAGAATTGTACAGAAATTGGATTAAGAAATTTATGGTTGTTGCTACATAGTAATGATGTAAGGACAGTAAATAACATTTTCTAGGTCATTTAAGTAGTTCAGTCATTGGAGGACAATTTACTTTCTTAAAAGTTTCGTCACTTATGACTTCACTTTTTTTCCAAAAAATCCCAGTGTGTGTTGTGAATGAATGAAATTTTTAAGTTTATATTATATGTTGTTTTAGATAACAAATAATTTCTTTTCAATAACCAGTGTAAATTTCATGAAACTATATTACGGTGTTTATTATGTAGATTGAAGACTCGGTTTTGAAACTTTTTTCACTCCATTTGATAATTTGGTTATTTTACTCCATCTTTGTATTTTTTCATTTGTCTGAAGTGAAATATATAAACCCAAACTGATGACTATATACATTATTTTATATAAAAGATGACATAGGTGTTATGCTACATTAACTTATTTATATTATACAAACTCATTTCACTGTTGTTATGATTTAAAAATAAGAGTTTAACTTTTTTTAATGAATTTGCTCATATGGTATAGGATATATGATTAATATATTAGTTCTTAATATATTAGTTCTGTTGGTTAATTTCACAACTGACAATATTTTCATATAATATATTTTAAAATTGTATGATTTCCATGAAGAAAGCCATTTCTATACAGTACAGTACTTACATGGTCAATCAGAAAAATCATTAGGACCATCCATGATTGTACCATGCTGAAATATGAAGTTACAAGAGTGACAGCAGGTATTATTATTATTATTATAAAAGTGCTGTAATATGTAAAAAAAATCTCCTTCAAAGGTGAGCTATATCATACACAGTCATACAGAAAACTACTGCATAGCTTAAAGAAGTTGTATGTGGTTGTATTTCTTTTGTCAACTTCTTACACAGTATATGATCTGATATTAATTATACTGTACAGTACAGCAATCTAAAAAAAAATAATAAGTTGTAGACCAATGTCAAAGTGATTCAGTGTTCATGATAATACTACTGTACAGTACATTATTTAAAATGCTGCTCTATACCAGTTGAATCTATGTATTTTTGTAATGTACGACAGATGGTGCTTTAATATTAATTTACAGGAAACACTATACAGTACTACAGTGCAGTACAGTATTTTTTCTGCACTCCATATAAATTTCTTCTCAAAGGATATTCATTGCATTGCTACTGGCTAAGCAGATTGAGTTATGAGGGTCAGATTTATTTTTCATTTAATTTTTATATCTGAAAAGTGGCTTGTCAGGGATATGAAAAGAATTTTTGATAATGAAAATGGTATAAGGATTTATAATCTATTTCAAGTTATTCATATCTTGGGAATGTCTGAAATGGCATGTTATTATTATATATAATGAGTAGTAGAGATTTAAACTTTCCTAATAGACTGCACTTGGCAGATAAACCATAAACATTCTTCTCTGAAGATAATCAATGCATTTTTAAACCTACGCCTTCCATAGAATGACCAGGTAATTTAATAGATGCCTTTTTTGTCCTCAAGATCAGTGTTTATGTTGTTACAAATAGGTGTCATATTTTATTGATATTGTTGCTCCTAAGCTTTGATAATTAAGATGAATATTTAAAAAGCTTAATGTAAAGGTTATTGTGCTAGCGCTAACATTTAAAGCAATACTATGCTCGTTCAGTACTATTAATCAGATGAGTATATTTGTAAATATGTTTCCCTAGGTAGGTCTATTGGTTGTAGATCGTATTTACATGAGCTATGACTTGAGTTGTATTATCCACAGTTTCCTCTAGTGAAGATGCTCTTTCCATCAAACTACCATAAACCTTTGCCTAAGTAACTTGAAAGTGTTGCTTGTCATTGCACAATCATACATGCCTTCAGTGCTTTTCATTGCACAAAAAATGCACCAGTATGTATAGCATAATAGTATTGAATTCTTTTGAGTTCTAGGAATGTAATAGGACTAGTCTCATGTGGATGATACTGTTTTAAGAATTTTCAGTACAGTAAACCCTTGATAACTCTGAATACATGGGCCTCGAACCATTCCGAGTCATCACGGCACTTTCCTCCTGGTCTTTCGTCCCACCCCAATACCCAACTTTTGGGCCAAAATAACCTACCATAATCAGAAAACTTACACCAAAATTAACGCTTATCAGCACTGCAGGCAAAGAATGAGGGTAATTCAAGCTTGTGGTGCCACATGGTAGATGTCAAGAGGTGATGGGGGTCACTGCATTACAGTACAGTATATACAGTAAAATTATATATTATAAGCCTAGGAGGTGTTCACTGAACCAGCGCGAGAGAGAGAGGGACGCCAAGAGTTAACTTAGAGCTGTTATTTTTCAACTCATAATTTCAGATAGACATATTCTTTCTTTTTTTTTCTTCTTTACGTAGTTACATGCACACACAATCTTTCATACAGAATGTGGAAAAAAAATTATAAGGTCAAAAAAAATAAAGGGAATAAACAGAGCGGGGGAGGGAGGAGTGGCGTGGGGTATCTCTCGGCTGTTTATGGTCTCGTGTGTAGTGAAATGATTGTCAAATGGAAATGCAACATTTTTTCTTTTATTTTATGTACTGAACAAAGAATAGCTCCTCTAGGTGACGTGACACAGACAGCCACCCAGCTGACTCACATTAGGAAAGGGAGGGAGGAAGCGACGCAGTTACACTTACAGCTCATTGTCACAACACATAGACGTTCACTGTCTTTATTTCCAAGACACATTAAAGTATTGTAATGCTTTTATTTTTATTTTTCTCAAACAAGCACAGACAAGTTATAAACACAGAGCGAGAGAGAAATGCTGTGTGGGTTGGCTTGCACAGGAACACGACCCAAGAGTAAGGTCACACATGTTACGCCATACCAAGATTGCATCATCATACGAGGTGTGATCCAAAAGTTCCTGGATTGGCTTCATAAAATCTTTATTTTTCAAGATATTACAGTGAAACTTTAGTCACCCTCAAAATATTCTTCAGAGGCTTCAATGCAGTGCTGAATCCCACCCTCCCACTTCTGGAAGCAGATCTGGAAGTCCTTGTTCGTGAGGCTGGAGAACACCTGCAATGTGTACTGTACTGGATTTCCATTCAGTCCATAATCATCTTCCCCTTGAGGTTCAACTTGAACCTCGGAAACAGCCAGAAGTCACAGGGGACCAGATCTGGAGAGTTTGGAGGGTGGGGGGGGGCCACTGGGATGCCATGTTTCGCCAAAAAATCATTCACAGTGAGGGCAGTGTGTGCAGGTGCCAGTCGTCAGTCAAAATCTGGTTAACATTTCCATATGAAAGGTCCAACCGCTCGGCAATCTCACGGGTGGTCCCCTTACGCTCTTCATGGAGAAGCTGGTCAATTTTCTGGACATTTTCATCATTTCTCTCGGTGGAAGACCGCCCAAAACAAAGCTCATTTTCAAAGGAGGTGCAGCCTTCTTTGAAGCACTTGTGCCCCTGAAAACTTAGCCCTGGACATTGTTTCATCTTTGTAGGCTTCCTTGGTCATTTCATGGGTTTCTGCACCAATTTTTCCAAATCTGAAGCAAAACCTGATGGTGCAGCATTGCTCAATACTTCCCTCCATGTTGAGGGTTGAGTGGTGACTGACTCGACTTAGAAGATGGGTTGGAACACACACACACACACACACAAAGCTGCAGTAAGGCCTGTTGGTGACACATGTTTTTTTTTAGTTTAACAAATTTATTGGCAGAGCTTGTAGTACAGTTTGCCTATTCTGAGTAATTCAGTCAGGTCTTGACACTGAGGGTGGTATCACTTCTCACTGTCACGCAGGACAGAGGTTCACACACAAAGAAATACATCATATTCATTAACAACTATAAATGTATATAGGTCAGGTTCATATGGATAATGTCACTGTTCACTGCCATGCAGGACAGAGGTTCGTACACAAAGAGTTGCATCATATTCATTGACAGTACGTATATACATACACATATACATGTACAACACACACACACATACATATACGTCGGTCAGATTCATGTGGGTAATGTCACTTTTCACTGCCATACAGGACAGAGGTTCGTACACAAAGAATGCATCATATTCATTGACACTATATATAGGTCAGATTCATGTGGGTAATGCCACTGTTCACTGCCACGCAGGACAGAGGTTCGTACACAAAGAAGGAAATACATCACATTCACCAGCAGCATATATAGGTCAGTGGATCACATACATTGGAGTCATATTCTAATTGAAGACTAATCAGTGTGGGCTAGCAAATTTGGGATAAACAGCAAGAATGTCCTCAAGCACACCTGATTCAATGAAGTAATTACATAGTTCAAGATACAGTAAGTCAGGTGGCCTGAAGTCTTTGACAGTGTCACATTCAATAATATAGTGTTCAAGTGTATGCTTTAAAGGTTTATCACAAAGTTTACATGCTGAGTGTTCCGGTATGGGTACAGCGTTACTAACTTGCCAGATGTGTCTGTATCCTAGCCTAATTCTGGCCACGACTACATCACATTGTCTGGTTCTGTCCTTATGCTGGCCATACCGGTACCTCTTGTTACAAAATTTGTCATATTTACTAATGCTACAACTGTCAGGTCTCTCTGCATTTCTCACTTCTTCTAGATCAGAGTTCATGATTCTGACTTGAATGTTTTTAATTACAGCATTGGACAGACCAAGGTCGCGGTCAACATTTTCTTTCTTACATGCCTCATTGGCCAGTCTATCAGCATGGTCATGATACCTGATTCCAACATGGGACGGAATCCACACAAATTCGATACGAAAGTTGTTCTCATTGGCAGTTATCACATTCCTTTTAATATCACATGCAACTTTAGACATAGAGCCTGACGGGCTGTTCATTGATTTCAAAGCACTTTGAGAGTCACAGAATATCACCCCACCTCCATTTTCTTTGAGGTAGTCTGTGGCTAAGTAGATTCCAGTTAGTTCAGTTTGTGTTGTGCTGGCCCAGTTGTTCAGCCTTTGTTTGTTTGACACTATCATCTCTTTTTCTTTATATATTACAATTGCACAGCCTGTTCTACCTGTGTTTGTCTGCACAGAACCATCAGTAAAAGCATAACATTCACTTGATTTAATACTCTCTATGTGTCTGTTAATAGTTTCTAGTGTGACACATCTCACCACATCGGTGTTTAACATTTGCTTACTACCAACAGGAGTGTAATTAATAGGAACTGATATGTCCAGCCAAGGAGGAATGGCATTAATAGGTTCGTCTGGGGTGATTGGGACATTCAGTTTCAGGAGATCTGCAACACTTTTATGAAGCCACGCCCCAAAGAGAGTCTTTTGTGAAAGGTTGGCGAGATGGTCGGGATTACTTAGATAGAACATCAACTCAGTTTGAGTTGTAGTTTGAGAACTATTGTTCTTCAAAACTTTGACACAAAACATGGTATTAAGTAGGGCTATCCTCTCAGATAGGGAGGGCAGTCCGAGCTCTTTCCTCATGTTTACAATTCTGGTTGATTTTGGGCAACCTAGGATGATGCGCATGGCTTCATTTTGCACTACCTCAAGGCTGTTGAGTTGTTTAGGCGGAATAGTCACAAGATGGAGAGCATGATAGTCAACTACAGAACGAATGAAGTGAAGATAGAAAGTACGAGCATAGGTGATGTTAATTCCATAGCCCTTGCCAACAAGGGTTCTGAGGGGTTTAATGCGCTGCATTAGTTTGTCACGAAGGTTGCTGACAAAGTTTGCATCATTCACACAAATTCCAAGATATTTATAGGAGCTACATAGTTCCAAGGGCATGCTGTTAATGTTATAGTCAAGAGGCAGAGGGTGAGCAGGACGAGGATTGAGGACCCTCGTCTTGTCAACAGATATTATGAGACCGCATTCAACAGTTCTCCGAGCAAATACATCCAGCAAGGCTTGGAGCCTGAGTTTGGTTTGTGTCATAATGCAGATATCATCAGCATAGCATATTACGGCTTCGTTTGGCTGAACTGGAATGTCAGCAATAAGCTTGTGCATCAGTATATTAAAGAGCATAGGACTTAACACTCCTCCCTGAGGCGTGCCCAGCTCAAATGATCTCATTCTGGTACTTTTAACTCCCCTAAACAGAACACTGGCATACCTGTTGGACAGATAACCCTTTATCCATGTCAGGAGGTTACCTTGTATGCCAAAATTAGCTAGTTGCTCAAGTATAATGTCTCTATTAGCTACATCAAAGGCTGATTTAAAGTCTATGAAGGCTGTTTGTCTTATCTTTTGAGTGAACAAGATATTCTGCAAAGCATGTCTGTGTGCTACGCCCGGGCATGAACCCGTACAGATTAGGGGCGAGTTTGTCTTTGACTTGAAACATGAGACGGTTTAGAGCAACTCTTTCAAGGACTTTACACATACAAGATGTAAGTGAAATTGGCCTGAAGTTTGGAGAATTAGCTTTAGGGATTGGAACTATGTTTCCATGAGTCCATGTCTTAGGCAGATTCCCGCCAAATGGATGCAGTAAACAATTTATTCCCAAGGTGAGTAACTGATGATGATTTGAATTCGATATCTGTGAAGAAAAAGGTTTTATGAAGACAGTCTGGGAACTTTTGGATCACACCTCATATCTCGGAATATTGCGAGTTATGTAAAGAAAAATAAATGAAAAATAATATACTGTACAGTTGAATATTTTATTGACATTGTAATTTATATCAAATTATGAGTTATCAAATTCCAAGTTATCAAGGGTTTACTGTAAAATAATTTTCATACAAATATACATGTTTGGGATCAAAGATACTAAAATAATCAATGTGAAAAAATATTTCCTAATCCATTTACAGTACAATATATAGTTCATTCATTGGATCACAAATAACTGAAATATTGCATTAGTATTACACTCTGGTTACACTGGTGTCAGGTTTACAATGATGAGATATTTGCAACAACGCTAGATAGATTTAATTTTCATCATAATTATCTACAAGTATCCATCAGGATGCAGAAATTCACCCATACAGAATTTGTAAATTATGACCATTAAATTCAGGATACAGCCCCTAAATTTAACATTACAAAAATGGGGTTAATTTTCAAAATTTTAAATGAAAAATCTCTATGCGTATAGAAAAAAAGCTGACATTTTAATTTATTTGGTGTGTACTACTACCAAGTGTGGGTACACAGCACACCCATGCTGCTGGATTCGCTTTGTTTATATCTCACAGTGTGTACACTATCTCCTGATCCCAGCTCTTGGATTTAACCTCACCTCAAACAGCACTCAACAACATTTGTGGTGAGTTGAATTCAAGTGTTTTGTGTATTTATTCTCATAGTGATATCCCTATTAGCCAGAACAATTGGTGCAGGGCTCTTCTGGGGATGAGAGATTTCTGGATAACAAGACAATTCTCTCAAACCCCAGAAAATCTTGCATCCCCGGAATTTTTCGGGGTATTGGGAAAAGTTTTCAAGAGCCTAAACTATGCATCTTGCACAGACAGACACTAACCCACATCCCCAAAATGTTTCTGGGTGCTGGGGAAAGTTTTCCGAGAGTAAGAAGCTCGAAACTATGCATCTCATCTTGACTCTACACATCACATCATCGCATCTCACATGGACAAACACTCTCCCAGTATATTTAGACTGCGGGCACAAGCGGAAATATTTACAGCTAACGAAAAGTATATAAACTTTTATTCATTGCATCTACTCTAATTGTGTTTGAGACAAATTTGGTACCATAATGATCCTGAATAAATTTAAAGATTTCCAATAAAAGATGCTTGAACAAAATATAAAACATTTTATTTTTACCAAAACTATTCAATTTATATAAAGCCTTGGTTGAATAAATGCATTTAAAAAACAACAAAAAATCTGTACAATACAACAGGCTGTCAAATGAAGGTATTTTAGAGGTGCGAGGCTGGGAGCAAATATATTTACGGCTAGCAAATAAGTGTTGAAACTTTTATGCACATCTGTTCTATTTATGTTAAGGGGAGCGTTCGGCTGAAACACGAAATTCATCAATTAATATCAATTTCCTGTCAGCAATTAAGGACACCAGATACATTGTTACTATACGCTTGAATTGGTTCTGCCTAATCCCTGATTTTTTCCTTATATTCTTATCAATTTTAAAAATCCTATTTCTCCATAACTTCTTCCTAGATTACGTTGAAAATAATAAATCAAGCCAAATATAAAGAAAATTTACATGTTAAAGCCATGCACAATATGTAATTCTAATACTGAGTTTTTGTTTTATTAGAATTGGCTCTAAATGGCCGAGCCTTGGGCATTTGATGGTTAGAAAAACTTGCTCTGAGATATGTGCCGATAGGATGGTACGAGAGCAACAGACAGTCGAACCTTACTCTCGCTTCTTTTGTAGGTAACTGC